GCTCTTTTTGTATTTTTCTTTTCTTTATGCTTCAGAAAAGATGTTTATTATTGCTCTATTTTCTAGTTCAATAATTCTCTCCTGCTTTTTTCCGTCAGCTGTTAAACCTATTCACTAAGTTGTTAGTTTCAGATAATATATTTCCCAGTTTGTTTGTTTGTTTTCTTGTTTGTTTGAGACGGGGTCTCACTATGTAGCCCAGGCAGGCCTCAAGCATGAAATCTTCCTGCCTTAGACTCCCAAATACTGGGATTATAGGTATGTGCCACAACACCTAAGCAGTTTATTATTTAAAAAAAAAAAATTCAAATTCTTGCTGAAATTCTTTTCTCTTATGCTATATATTCTTCAATATATAAATCTAAGTTAATAAAAAAAAGCCCATGTCTAATAAATTCATAATTGGATCACCTGTAGGTTTGCTTCTTTGATCTTTTTTCCTTCTTCTTGTTGTTTAGCTAATTCTTTTATTCCCTGTCTTGTCTGATGATTTTTTGAATATAATGCCAGATGTTACATATAAAGTTTTGAAGAAATGATCACAGATTATGAATGACATTATATTTCTTCTGCTCACTCTTGCTTGTAACAGAATTAAAGATGGGGTCAGATCACCTTGATCCTATTTTTTCCCAGTACTGGAGAGTGAACCCAAGGCCTTGCACTTGCTCAACAAGTGTTCTACCACTCGAGCTACATTCCTAGCCCCCTAAATCTTATTTTGGAAAGAGCTAATTAGAATCCATGTCTGTTTGTGAGAACTGGGCTGTTTCTATTTAGCACATTTGTTAGGGTACAGCTTTTCAAATAGCTGATATCAAAGTTTGAGTTGATTATCAGGGCCACTCTGCTGCAGGTCCTAAATTCTGATTTTTGACTCCTAGCCCCATAAGACTGTCAAAAAGATATACTCAACTTCTCTGCTATGTTACTAAAATCCTCTGCACATCCATTCAGCCTTTGCTTACAACTTAGCAAATACTTGAAGAGGAAAAGTGACACTGACAGGTTAGCTTCTGCATTTCTCATTCTCAGATCTTAGCCTCTTGAATCCTCAATGCCTTAGTCACTATCTGATGTCTTCAAGTGGATTATTGTTTGTATTTTACCAGTTTTTATAATTGTTCTTAGCAGAAATGCTTTTGATTAAATTTAGAATTATATAGCTAGGCCTTTCCATGTTATTTTCAGAATCAGTTGACTAAATTTTATGAAAAAAGTGGTATTTTTTTATTAGGGTGTTATTGAATTTCTGTCTGGAGAGATTTAGCAACTCTATTTTTTATTATTAATTCTTCCTATCTACTAACATATTATATTATTAATTCTTCCTATCTACTAACATATCTTCTTTTAGGTCATAATTTATCTTTCCACTTTTAGTTTTCTCTGTAATGGGCTTGGATACCTGTTAAGACTTATTCATAATTATTTCATGTTTATGTTACCATTGTAATTGACATATTTTTGCTACATTTTCTAGTTATACTGAGATATATTGATTTTTCTGTTCTCACTTGTAATTTAACTGTAAATTATTTTGTATTTTCTATGGATAACCATATCATCTGAAAATTGAGTATTTCTTTATTTTATACATATATATGTATACACTGAAGATTTAATATACATATATTTAAAATTTAATATATATATATATTTACAATCTAATCTTACTGCTTTAGGATGTTACTTTACTATCAGAATATTATCTAAGATATCTAACACAATATTTGAGTAGAAGTGATCCTTTAGTTTTGATCTTAAGGAAAATGCTTTTAACATTTCAGTATTAGTATGATGTTTACTAGGACAGTAGGAAGGATGTTGGTACATTTCCTTCATTAAAAATTTTATTTTCTTTATGTCTTGTCATGAATAGTTGTCAATCTTTATTGAAAACATTTTCTGCCTCTATTAAAGTATGCCATCTATTCTTTTGCTTTATAATGTGCTAAATTAAACTTATTGGTTTGATATTCAACTTATCTTTCATTTATTATGTAATTTTAAAATGTAATGCTTAATTCATTTTGTTAATATTTTGTTTAGACCCTTTGCATCTATCATCAGAGCTGAGTTTGTCCTGTAATCTTCCTTTCTTATCTTATATTTGTCTTAGCTTATATTTTGTAGAAATAAGGGTTGCACCAACCCCATAAAATGAATAAGAATTGTTTAACTTTTTCTATTCTATGAAAGAATTTGTATAATATGAGAACTATGTCCACCTTGAATATCTGGTTGTATTTGTCTATTGCATTATCATTCGAGGAAGTAAATTACTGGGTAATATGTAATAGGTAATTTATTATGGAAATTAAATCTTAATTGTAAGAGGACCTATAAAGTAAGATCTAGAATGGGATTTGAGGGACAGAGTAGAGTCACTGATCAGGACTTAGGATTCAATGGGATACATGGAAAGTTAGAAGTGATAGGGTAAGTGAGGCCAGGCACTCCCCACCCGCTATGTGGAAGCACGAACTGCAGCACACAGGAAAGCTACCAAAGGCTGGTGTCTGGTGTTGGCCTGAGATCACTGGTGTGCATCAGGGTCAACAGTCAGGAAACACTGATAAACACCAAGGAAGGAACAGTGAAGACAATCTACAGCCTGGCAGCCATGGCTCCTGTGCCACCTCTAACCGTTATCAGCTAAAATCAAAACAACTCTGAGACATAGTTAGAGCTTTCCTACTTGACACAGTACAAAGCTACTGGTGTGAAAAGCCAGGTGTTTTCTTTGTTGCTAGCATATAGCCTCCAGCTACAGATACCCTGTCAAGTTCCTGACAGAAGAGTTCTCTGCTTCAGGCAAGCCTGGAGCTGAAGAGCTGGGAGATGCAGAGGAAGGCAAAACAAAATCTTGTCTGTCACAGCTACTTACAATGACTAGATAGTTTTCATTTCTTCCAGCCATTCTGTTGTTTGGTTTGGTGTTGTGCGGGGTGATGTGTGTATGTTTGTGTGGTTTTAAGGATTTATTATTTAATGTTATTATCATATCTCCAATGATCATACAATAATTATTTATTCATATGAAAAGAGCATTAGTTGAAAAGCAAAGCTAATAGGTAGAATTGAGACCATAAGAATTCAGATTACAGAGTTCTGAGCCTTCATGAAGTACTCTTTAGAAAAGGGGTACAATGCTCATTTCATATGTAGTAAGTGACATTTAGTTTAATAGAATTTCAACCAGGAATTGTATACAATGAGCCCAGGAATTGTATACAATCAAATATCTTAGATGAAATGCTTTTTTTTATTACTATTTTATTATTCATATGTGCATACAAGGCTTGGGTCATTTCTCCCCCCTGCTCCCACCCCCCTCCCTTACCACCCACTCCACCCCCTCCCTCTCCCCCCCACCCCCTCAATACCCAGCAGAAACTATTTTGCCCTTATTTCTAATTTTGTTGTAGAGAGAGTATAAGCCATAATAGGAAGGAACAAGGGTTTTTGCTGGTTGAGATAAGGATAGCTATACAGGGCATTGACTCACATTAATTTCCTGTGCGTGTGTGTTACCTTCTAGGTTAATTCTTTTTGATCTCACCTTTTCTCTAGTTCCGGGTCCCTTTTCCTATTGGCCTCAGTTGCTTTTAAGGTATCTGCTTTAGTTTCTCTGCGTTAAGGGCAACAAATGCTAGCTAATTTTTTAAGTGTCTTACCTATCCTCACCCCTCCCTTGTGTGCTCTTGCTTTTATCATGTGCTCAAAGTCCAATCCCCTTGTTGTGTTTGCCCTTGATCTAATGTCCACATATGAGGGAGAACATATGATTTTTGGTCTTTTGGGCCAGGCTAACCTCACTCAGAATGATGTTCTCCAATTCCATCCATTTACCAGCGAATGATAACATTTCGTTCTTCTTCATGGCTGCATAAAATTCCATTGTGTATAGATACCACATTTTCTTAATCCATTCGTCAGTGGTGGGGCATCTTGGCTGTTTCCATAACTTGGCTATTGTGAATAGTGCCGCAATAAACATGGATGTGCAGGTGCCTCTGGAGTAACAGTCTTTTGGGTATATCCCCAAGAGTGGTATTGTTGGATCAATACCACTCCTCCTATCTCTGCCTCCTGAGTAGCTAGGATTATAGGTGTGAACTGCCGGTGCCCAGCTTTTTCTTTCCCTTTATGTCTGATCTATTTCAATATCCAACCTACACAGACTGAGTGCAGGTCAGTGCACTCTGCTCTGCTCAGCCTGCATTGTGAGTGCCCAGTTTTGGACAATCAAAATAATGACAAAAACAATCACTTTGTTAAATAGAGGAAATGTGTTTGTTGTCTGGGCCTCTCTTTTAGAATTCTGGTTCCCAAGCTATTGAACCACGATGGAACATTTAATGGATCCCTGCAAAATAGTAGTTGTACTTTTAGCTGTTAGTACCTATTTGTGGCTCAAATCACTCAGAACTTGGTTGCATGCTTCAATAATGCTCATTTTTGGAGAAAGAAAAAATATTCAGACTCAAGGAAAGAAAAACATGAGGAAATTATGGCTATTATTTTTCTGAAGGAATTTCACTCACCACACATAAAAGATGGCACTTCTGATCCTCCAGGATATTAATTGTTAATTAAAGCAAAACCAAATTCACAAAAAGCTCAATTAGCTGGGAAAGGTGGCTGATGGAATAATTAATATGCACAAATGTCAAGTCATCCTCACTATCATGAAATCTTTACCAACATTTCTATGAAGCATCTATTTGAAAACACACACATGGATTCCTCTTTATTCTGATTTCTGGAATAACTAAAGTCCAAGGAGGAGAGATGAAAGATAAAGTCAAGCAAAGGACTGGTTAGGACACAATTTCAATAATCCAAAGTCCCAAACACCCAGTTACTTATCAGGCAGGTTGTATTGGCTACAGGGAAAATATTTAGTTATAATACCACATGAAATTTTATTTTATAAAATTAGTATTGCAGAATTCAAGTATTTTTTAAAAAGAGTTACAATAGCAAGCTTAGCAAATCACTTTGATTTAACGCTAATTAACTAGTTGACAAAGTATACAATAAAATGTCTTATGGTGATTTTATTTAAATAATTATAAGTTGATTGCTATCCATAATGAACATAAATCTGGAAACTTGCTTACAATCTCATATTTGAAAATAAGCAAAAATTCTGTGCGAACACATAAAGAGAACATTCACCATTTTCATTGGGAAAAGGTTTCCAAGAGAAAAAGAGCAATAATGACCGAGAAGCACTAAAGTCTTTGGGGAATGGTTTCAAAAATTAAGTATTTTCATACAAAGATTTCCAAATATAAAAATAAGTGTTCTAATTCTGAAGAGATCAGGTTCTAGGTTGCTAAATAAAAATTAATTTATTACAATCCATTATGCAAAATGACCAGCATGGACCATTCAAATGGTAAATTCAATGCATACAATGTATCTTAACAATAATTGTAATATTCCAACCATTTTGAGAAATTGAGCTAACATTTCCATCCAAATCAAAGAAGTTACTTTGCAACTGACCAAGCTAGTCTATCACCTGCTTTAACTTCAGATTTCCATGGAGGCTGCAAGGAAAACAAACCAAATATCTATTGAAGACAGCACAATTTACAAAGAAATTTTGGTCTCTAATGAATTACCTACTGATTCTCCTGATTTCTCTTATTTGAGAATCTTCTGTGTGTCTTCTTAAAGAAAGAAACAAAAGCACAGCTATGCATCTGTCTCCAGGACATGGACTGATTAGCCACAGAGATGAAGGGACCAAAATCTATAGTATTCTATTTTTTGAAAGGAAATATACTATCTATCCACATGGTTTGTTCTTGACCTTCCTTTTAATTCAAATTTTCACTAAGGTGGCTCCCTTAAGCATGGTAGGTCTGGGGCCCTTTGTTGCCATAATGGATTAGCTGACTGGAGAGAATGGGACTTCTAGACCCCCACAGCAAGGGCCATTCCCTGTAGGAGGGTAAATGAAAGCTTCTCTCCATTAATTGAGGACCAGATTCCTTATCATTGGATGATGGGATCCAGTAGCCTTGCTCTATGCTCAGGCCATCTATGTGGGGATCCTATCTCCACAAAGACAGTTGCACTGTCCCTATACAAAGAAGAAGAAAGAAAGGAGGGAGGAGAAAGGAGGAGAAGAAGGTGGCAGAGATAAGGAGGAAAAGAAATTTCATATTCACATCATTCATAATGTCCACCAAAAGAGACCCTTTAATAGTGACTGGAGAAGGAAATCCAAAGGAAATTAATTCTCAAACTATTCTGGACTCAATTTAAAAAAATTAAAATAGTCTTATTGGTTGAGATGATCCAAAGAATTATGCTACCTGATATCACACTAGCTTTCTCTGTACTTCCTATCTCCTCATCTGGGCCATAAGTGACTTGCGAACAAAGCTCAGGTTTTAAGCATACTGTATTCCTTTCTCCCAGCAGGTTCACTGCCCCAGCATTGGGCTCTTCACTTAACCTGTGCTAGCTGACATTGGGTATGGTCAATGAAAACGCTCTGTAGACTGCTACTACTGTGTTTTTCTGGGCTTTCCAGTGGCACAGAAGGGATTTACCCAGAATCAAAGTTGGTCTTTTTCTCCTTCCCTTCCTCTCAACCTCTATGGGTACTTTCACCCCAGGCAGCTATGAGACAGCTGGACATGATGGGGATGTGATCACTCACATGGGAGACAGTTAGACAAGCAGCTCACAGAAAATGGGTCAAAACGTTTGCAGTAGAGTGCACAAAAAAGTAGACATTTTAATCTATCCCTGAGTGCCACCTAACCATAATGAGTCCTTAGTTCTCTATGTATAATCACATTTCTGTCAAATCCTGTCAGTTCTTGACTGACTTGCAAAATTATATGTACCTCTAAAGTAAATTACCTTTAATCTATTCTTTAACCTAAAGAATTATGTGCTTTTAACTGCTTAAGGAAAAGTAGTCTGGAACTACAAGACATCCTGGTACTCTCCAGTAATGCTATCAATAACAACAAAAACTCAAGCAACTACTGAAAATACTGAATATTTGAAGTATCCAAATACTTCAACAGTTATGGTATATAAAACTCTATTACCTGTAGTTTTCATATTCAATTCTTCAGTGTACCTTAATATCCAGGACTTGCTCAAATTAGGCAGTAAAGTTTTATTGAGTTCAGTATTTTGAGTTATATGACAACACATGTACAAGAGGGGAATTTAGAGTGAGTCTTCCAGAATGAGAAGCCTGTGTTCTCTCTATAAAGAAATCTGAAGAGGAAGGTATACTGGAAAGTATGAAGGGAAACATCAGAAAATATAAGTGCAGTTGAGACTCACTGGCTCCTTTCATTAGTAGAGGAACTGTTTTTGTTGGCTCAAAGGTTCTCTAAGCCTTTCTAAAGGCTTATAACACAAAATTGTGTTCAACGATGACCTCTGGGTTTTGAAGAATGATGATATCTGTGACTCAAGGCCATGAGATTTATCATAATGCAACTCTTGGCAAAAGTATTATACAAAGATATTCGATTCCATTTCTACCTGAAGCAGATTGAGTTTCAGAATAGTTTGAGAATCTGGGTTGATTTTATGATCCTTCTGTGGCCTGGCTAGACTGCATAGCCAGCCAATGGTCCATCTGAGGTCTAGCCCCTGATAAGACTCGAATACTCTGAAATCCTCAGGATAATCCCCAGATCAACTTATATCCATGGAACCCTTCCCACTAGACATGAACACATTTACTTGTAACCATTTATAATTTCACAAGAACTCCACTTACAGCTACTAATATAGATCCTAAGAATGACTTCAAGCCCTACCTAATTCAAAGTAAGGAGACACTCACTGTAAACTTGCTCAGAGTGAACTAGCAGTCTGCTAGTGACTAGAGTTTCCAGTGAGCATGGTAACCTCATACAAGACAGAAATGCAGTCCAAATTTGTTTCTCTAAAATCCTATGGCATTTCAATACAGCCCATCTGCTCCCATACTTATACAATTTTAATCATTGTTTTTGGGGTTAGATGAGACTTTTCACTGGAGAACACTCAGGATCCAGGTAAAGATAACCATTCACCAGGCTCCAGAGAGGAAAAGTGGACATCTGCTTCCTGGCCATTCTTTGCAGCCATAGGCTGTCTCCCATTCCTGAGGTCTTGGTGTTCTTCTATGGCCACAAACTACAGAGAAGAAAAGGGAGACAGAGAATATTGTTAGAATTCACAAGCCATTTAAATACATATTAATTAAAGCCTATGGCTTTGTCACTTTCCTGTGGAAGGTGAAAGTTGGAAGAAAGGCCTTATCAATCTTACCTCTCTGGCTAATAAAAGATTCCATTATTAACTAAACTGTGTTATTTTCTATTAAAGCAACTATGCACTACCAATATCTTTACTGAAAAATCTGTTCTAATTCTGGAATCCCAACTTTTGGATCATGAATTCCTGGGGGCCACTGTTTTATTGTAATACAAGAATCATTAAGTATTCTAAGCATTGCTCATTCCCAGACAAAATACACACTCGCAAAATTCATTTAAACATGCAACCAAGTTCTGAGTGATTTGAGCCACAAATAGGTACTAACAGCTAAAAGTACAACTACTATTTGCAGGGATCCATTAAATGTTCCATCGTGGTTCAATAGCTTGGGAACCAGAATTCTAAAAGAGAGGCCCAGACAACAAACACATTTCCTCTATTTAACAAAGTGATTGTTTTTGTCATTATTTTGATTGTCCAAAACTGGGCACTCACAATGCAGGCTGAGCAGAGCAGAGTGCACTGACCTGCACTCAGTCTGTGTAGGTTGGATATTGAAATAGATCAGACATAAAGGGAAAGAAAAAGCTGGGCACCGGCAGTTCACACCTATAATCCTAGCTACTCAGGAGGCAGAGATAGGAGGATCATGGTTCGAAGCCAGCCTGGGTAAATAGTGTGAGAGACCCTATCTCGAAAAAACCCATCAGGAAACAGGGTTGGTGGAGTGGCTCAATGCGTAGGCCCCGAGTTCAAACCCTAGTACCACACACACACACACACACAAAAAAAAAAAAAAAAAGGAAAGAAAAGAAGTAGCCCATGCTCTGGGATAAAGGATGCAGACTGGTGAAGTCCTTCCTTGTCAATCAGTAAACCAGGGTTATGCTCAGAAGTTCTGACTGGTCAGGCCTCATTGGTTTGGAAAGGGACTCTCCACAATAAGGAGCTCAGAACCTAAGGGAAAGGGAAGAGGGGGGAAATCTCAGTGTTTCTCACTGAGAAAATGTAGAAGGGATGATGAGTAGAGTAGAGATGGGAAGGAAACGCTGGTAATGAAAGGCGAATCATATGAACGTGCGTTTTGCATTTTCTTATTTTCTACTACACTATTCCCCCTTTGTCTCCTCCTTAATGATCTCTCTACAGCAGCACATTGCAAAATCAATTCGGGACCTGCTGGATAAGACACAGGCCCATGATTTCTGGCTCCAATCAAAATGAGCACTGCAAAATTTCCAACCCTGTGCCTCTCTGCCAGAAGCATACAGGCCCTGGAATCCTGGGTTGAGATGGGGAAAGCAGCTGATGGAACCATATTTGTTTCTGCTGTTCTCCTCCCAGTTTGGGTGCTAGCTCTCTCCTGTTCCCTCTGGTATTGCTGTAGCAGTTGGTGTGGATGACAGTTATGATGGCTGGGGAGGACAGAGCTCAACAGCCTGGGCTTCTTAACACAGCTCAGAGCCAACAAACTGCTCCCCACAGCAGCAAACATTTTTGACCTGTTTTTTTTTCTTCTAAACACATACACAGATTGTATTTCTCCTTCTTTCCCATGATTTAAAGGTGATGAACTAAAACTACAATCAAAAATCTGAATGAAATACCACCATAATAGCTGCCAAACACAACCTGGGTAATTGAGGAGCCCATGATGCCATGAAGCCTCTAAGATAAGCACATTACACACTTATGGCATTTATAGAGATAGAAGAGACAGACAGAGCATCTACTCCAAGCTCCTAGGTGTACAGAAAAGGAAGCAGAGGTCCACAGGAGTTAAAGGGCTTACTAAAGACTTGTAAGATAGTAAGGCTGGGACTCATGTTTCTTATTTTATTTCTGTACTTAAGTTCAACCACAAAATAATGCCTATAACAGATAGAAACAGATGGCCACCTGTTAGAGCTCAGCCACAAGAAAGCTGTTCTCTGGGAACGCACAGTGAAGTGGAGGCTGGGGAGTGGGGGAGATGATGTGGAAAGGATACTAACACTGTCTTGCCCCTCCATAACCTTCTTTGACAGTTCTCTAAGGCTCCAGGTTTTCATTGTCCTGCTTCATATTCCAGCCTTTTCCACAGTGTGTACCACAAATAACACCAACAGCACACAGCTTAGCTCTGACAGATTTCCAGAAAGGGAAATTCCCTTTAGAGAGTCTTAGCCTATCCAGAGTGCACCTTCTAGTGGCCCAAGGTCAACTACTGAAGTGGGTAATGCACAGTCCCACTATGCAATTTGGAAAATACCTAGGGTTGACAGATAAAATACAGAACATCCAATTGGCAAACACAAATTTGATGTTGAGTTCAACTTGAACATTCGTTATAAATATCAGTTTAAGCATCCTGCATTTTTATTTGTTGAATCTGACAACTATTTTGCTACTGAAGTTTAGAGGCTTAAAAATGTGTATGAGAAAAGAAATGCCAAGAAATCTAGGGACATAATCTTATGTTTTAAACATATCCATCTGAAATTTGAAAAAACTTCTAGAGAAACTATATAAAAATTGAGGAAAAACTTCACATAACACATTAAAATCTAAGTTAAGGTAAAAGGTTTACGATAGCAAAAACTTCCCTGTGCTACTTATGTCATTAAGTTATGGTGCTATTTTAACTCATCTGATTCCTTTAATTTAAGGACTCCTCACTCTCCCAACCTTCCCAGCTGGTGTGGTGCTGGCTAATACTGACACAAGGTGGAAGCTATAACAGACTTCTGTTGCTCTGATCTCAGTGAACGATGAGAAAAAATGAACTGGGATTCATATCAAACCAATTCCTAGATTCATCTACTTTGATCACATTACCCAAGGTTGGGGACAAGAAGACATCCCAGCCTCACTGTTGGTAGGCCTTCTACTGCTCCCATTTTGGCTTGATTCTTCATACGGGTTCTTTGGGTTTTTCAATGACAGCTTGTGGGTCCTGAGATAAAACGAAAATTTGAGACAATCTCAAACGAAAACGAAAACAAAGCAATCAGCCCCCCTCAGTAATGGTCAGGAACAACTATCTTGTCAAATTAAATCTATCGATAGTACACATGTAGTCAAGCCCTGAAACTTTGCAGCTACACTGATCAATGCTGTGAAGAAAATAGTCATAGATTTGCTGGCAGTGAATTTTACAACTCTGGATCTATTTCAATGAAAAGAAACATAAAGGATTCTGATGAGATTTCTTTTTGAAGCAATAGTCCTTATCACTTTTGATTTCAGAAATATGGAAGTCAGAAGCTGTAGACATTCTGATTTTTATATAAAGACTCTAGTTATCTTTCAGCTGAGCTGGTCTTCAAATCCCAAGTCAATGAGCTTTGGGTACAGCTCAGCGATAGAAGGCTTGTCTTGCACATGCTATGTCCTGGGTTTCATCCCCAATCTGCTATCCAAGTCATAAAAGCCAGTAATGTGCCTATAGCTTTCAATCCAGTCTCTGAAAAACATCAATAGATTCCTTTTTTTCTATATCATTTGTCAAACATCTATCTTTCTTTTGGCATTCTGTCCAATGAGAAGAACTGTTGATTATTCAATATTCTTTCTACAAACATTCAAGCTCCTGATTAAACACCTTGCTAAAAAAGTTCACTCTTACTGATGGGCCACTAAATTAAAATTTCAAGTTTGTGTCTGAGAATTTTGCCTGTCTGGAAGTGATACAAAAGGTCTTAGAGTAAATGGCTCTTGTTGAGAAGACTGTCAGCCATAGAAAACTATAATAGCAATAACAGATAGCACTTATTAAATACAATATGCTAGCCTACACTAAAATCTTTACTTAGACTAATGTAATCTTACAGTAACCCTTGAAATAAGTACTATTTTTGTCCATATTTTATAGCAAAGGCAAGTAATGAATATAGATGTCAGAAAACATGTGTTGTTACTTAGGCACTACCTGGGATTTGAACATGTACAATCTGATTCCAGAGCCCAAGCTCTTCCCCTCTACACTAGGATATAGCATGATCTCAGGTGAGAGCATCTTTGCTGATTTTGCTGAATTTTCCAGAATATACGATAGTTGCCACTTAAGTAGTTGTGAAGTACCTGTAAATATGGTTAGATTTTATCTGCAGATGGCAGCACACAGTCTGCACATTCCCAGAGAATTGGGACTTGTGAGTTAAGTGGGTCTTAGGTTCTTAGCCATAAAATGGTACAATTGAACTAGATAATCCTATAAAGTCCCCTTCAGTCCAAGTTTTGTGACTTACTGATTTTATACAGCAAAAACCTTAACAGTACATGAAATCTTTTTCCAATATTGATGACCCTACTTTTCAAAGACATAGAAAATGAGCAGGTGTCCATACCTTCAGCCTAATGTAGTGTTATTATTTATTTTAGAAATTAAGTATATGTTATTGTTCCATAGTTTTTAACTTTAAATTATTGAAAACACAAAATCCAAAGACCAGAGACTTCCTTCCAAGTTAGGAAAGATAATGATTTTCCTTAACAAAAGGCAATATTTTACTCAGTGGAAGACAGCCACAAAAGACTTACAGCTACACTGGCTTTGTGGGTAGAGAAATGGGATGCTAGAAGGATAAAGTGAAATGAAAATAAAAGCATTATATTGAAAAACTACATATGAACTGAGGATGTAGCTTAGTGGTAGAGTGCTTGCCGAGTGTCTGCAAGGTCCTTGGTTAGATCCCTAGCACTGCAAAAATAAATACGTACATACATACATACATACATAACACTGTGTGTGGAATGGAACAAGGAAAAGTAAAAGTGATGTTTTAGGGTGGTGAAATCTTTGGCCTTAAAGAAAAACAATTGCTATTCTTTTAAATGTTTTCAGTGTATAGACAAAGTTCATCCCAAGGAGGCAGGTGTTCCCACTAGAAGGGACTTAGAAAGGCTTAAAGTAGGCCAGATGCTGGTGGCTCACACCTGTAATCCTATCTACTTGGGAGGCTGAGACCAGGAGGATCAAGGTTTGAGGCCAGCCTGGGCAAAAAAAAAAGTTTGCATGACCCCCATCTCAGTGGAAAAAAAAAAAAAAAGCTTAGCATAGTGGTGTACAACTCTCATTCTAGTGATGGTGTAAAACAAGAGAATCACCGTCCAGGACAGCTGAGCATAAAGTGAGACCTTAGCTCTAAAATTACCAGAGCAAAAAGGGCTGGAGATGTGGTTCAAGTGGTACAGTACTTGCCTAGCAATCACAAAGACCTGGGTTCAAACCCCAGTACCTCCAAAAAAAAGGCTTAAAGTACCAATGGAAAGAAAGGATTACCTGTAGTAGTGAGCCCCCCACACCCCTAGGAGAAGCAGCAGGACCAGTAGGACCACACAGACAGCCACCACGGTGATGTCCCGCTCCTGCCTGTGGCTGGCATGGCGTAGTTCCCACCATTTCAAGTCTCGGTGCTGACATCGCTCCCCAACGTAGCCAACAACACAGCTGTGACAACATACAAACAGATGTCATCAGAGGCCCTAGCCAAAAACACTTGGTATTTTTCAGACTCAATATCCAGCTGCCTCTCAATTTCTGCATTTCCAGACTCAGTTCGAAGTCTACAGAAAATCCATCAGAGGTCAGATGAAAGCACTGTGATTTGCACCTTAATGCAGCGTAGGCTTCCCTCTTCCCTCAGTTTGTCCTGGAATTGATGGGGGATTATTTGCATGCTGCCTCTATAAAGCATTACAGAACATTGATTAAAGATAAATTCCTCTTAAGCTTAAGTCCTAAGAAGCCACCTTTTAAAACCAACACAAAGCATTCTGCCCTATGATTCAAGGGAGTTTTGGAAATAAACGTTTGGCCGGAGTGCAGTGAGCACAGGTCAAAAGAAGGAAGACTCTGAAGGCAGAGTCCCTCACTGGAGACCAGGCTATAAAAGAAAAATGCAACCTGTACAAAAACCAACTCCAAATGAATCAAAGATCTGAATTGTAAGATCCAAAATTTTGAAACTACCATAGGGAAAACTCCAGAAGATATAGGCATAGGTAATTATTTTCTGAATAGGACACAAATTGCCCAGGAAATAGGAGCAAGAATTGACAGAAGGGACTGATGTGCAAAAAAAAAAAAAAAAAAAAAAAAGTTTCTACACATCAAAAGAAACAGGAGAACTAAGAAACAACTCACAGAATGGGAGAAAATCTTCACCAGCTATTCAACAGATAAGGGATTAATATCCAGAATATATAAACAGCTCAAAAGACTAAACAGCAAAAGATTACAAGTAGTCCCTGGACAGGCAGCACAACCTAAATATTGTTGAAAGAATAGTTCTTCCTCTTCTTCTTTCTTTCTTTTTCTTTTTAATCACCACTGGCCTAACGGAAAAGGCCTCAATGGTAATGCACAAGCATTTGCCTGTTTTCTCCAAGGGGAAAAACTCTTTGGAGGGGGAAAAGGGACATTCATGTCCAAACACCCTACTGTCTAATGAATGAAATTATTACTAGGGACCCTTTAGATAAGTCAGTGAAACAATGCTGCCATCTACTGGGAATACTTTGTTTCCAGAAACTATCAGGATCTTGAGTAAACAATTGCATTCTAAGATTCTTTACAAGTGAAAAGCTTTAAAAACATACAATTGCCAATTCCTCTGTCTTGCCCCTGGATTTAGTATCAACCCACTTATGTTCCCACCTTATTCCAAAAGGACTGAGGGATGAGACACAGAACCAGCACCAGTTCCAGTGGTGAGAAGAGGCAGCATGGAACAAACACTGTAGAAAGCTCCAGAACACCTGGAGGTCTAGTCCTAGTTTTATCTTTAGCCTGCCATAGGAGACTGGAGAGTCACTTTTAGAGGACGAAGAAAGAGGAATAACCATTTATTAAGCACCTGTGTATCTGACATTATGCTAGGCACTGTTACTGATTTTATTTTTGATGGTATGCTCCCTTTTTTTTTTTTTTTTTGATGGTGTTTGAGGAAACTAAGGCTCCAAGAGTTAAGTAATTTGTACAAGGTCACACAAGCTAGTGAATGACAAGTTTGATTCAAGTGATTTTCCAATGTCAAAGCCGCTCTTCTTTCTACTGTACTATACTGTTTTTGACAAGGGCTTTAAGCTCTATTCATTTGAGGAGTTCTGTTTTTCTAGACCTGACCATGCGGGCTGGCAGAATGGCTCAAGTGGTAGAACACCTGCTAGACCTGATCACACAAGAGATAGCAGGGTCTGAGGGAGGCATGTGAAGAATCCATGAAGGTTTTCCTGGGTACTGTCTTAATTCTAGCTCCCTTTGGTTATAGATAATTCATTATCAGTACCTAGCAACTACTTTTAAACTATTGGATGTTAATGGGCCACACCTCTGAGCCTCTCAGAGATTTGGGAGTCTTGAAGAATGTGTCACCTACATGGCTAAGCAGCCTCAAGAGCCAAGTCAAGCTGAGACAGCAGAACCTTACAACAGCCAAGACCGTGAGCAGGTTAAGGGACAGAGAAGACAAACCACTGTTTCTCTGGATTAAAAATTAGTTCTTCTAAAACAAACAAAAGATTCCCTAACCAAAGAAGTTTGAGTTTCCATGGTGAAACAATTTTATGACATGCTCGACTCACGACAGGTAAATAAGACTTTAGAGTGGGTGGTGGAAGCCATGGCTCAGCAATTGAAGGCTAGAGTCTGAAGCATTTTCCAAACTGATTTGTCTTCGAGAAATTTCACAGCCCGGAGTGGAGGATGTTGTCTGAGAAGACCCGACAGAGGGTGTTTGGCCAAAGCCAAAGCAGAATGACCAAGGACGTCTGAGCTCAAGAGGTTTGGAACTTCCTGAGACTCCAGGCCAGGAAAGTGCTGAGAAAAGCACTATCGCCATGGACACTTCAGGTCCCCAGGGCCTGTGTCACTGGATGGCCTGGGGTTGCACGTTTCTGCGGGAAGTGTCCACTCCCCCCAGCAAGGAAGGAAGAGCCAGCCTCTTACAAGCCCGCTCTGTGAAGAAAGACATCTTTGAAGTGTTTCTAATAAAGCTGGACTGACTGAGGTCTGTTATTATGGAATTAATAAAACATACGGTGAGTTTGGCAGGACAAAGAAGGAAAGGGCTTCATATTTGATTAAACTAACATTTTCATTAAATGTACAATTCAAAAACAAAGTTATGGTTCAGATTACTGTGAATGCTGGTGATATTTTAAATATTGCCTTTGATCAAAGGTCCTTAACTGTGAGTGCTATCTTCAGTTCAATTGTCATTTTGTAGCAATCTGGGTTTAAAACATCAGAGAAAAATGATATTTTCTTGGGTGTTTAATGACAGAAAGAAAAGCAGTGTGTTAAAGAGCTCATCAGTCATTTAATGAACCAACACTATCAGATTTAGATGAAAATACTGAACTAAATGCAGTCCATCGTAAACCCACAGTAACCTTTCTATTATGGCTTTTTATGACCTAAAGCTAAGTAGGATGGAAGAAAACAAGCCATGACCTAATAAACTAGACATTTGTTTTTCTAATTCCATTACTTTTTGGATAAGAAACAAGGAAATGGTAAAAAAATAATTTAATATCAAAGAGTATTAATTATAAGGAAAACTGCTGTAAATTATAGATGTATCTTGACTTAGAAAATTACCATATGCAAATATGAACATGAATACAGAATTCTATTAGAACTGAGACATTTTTACTGATATTCCTGAACACTTTTTCACAATTTTTGTCATGCTGACATGATTTTGTACTTCATCACAGAGTATAACTTCTTCCTCTAATAATTTAGACTTTCTGTTCATTATTATTAACAAAATCAGTAAAGTCATTAAGTGTCTATTTATGAGGACCAGAGTATTTTTATCTCCCCTTCTTCAGGCACAGAGAAAATTATCAATGAGGCAAGAACCATACCCTGAGAGAATTATTTATTTTTTGTATCAATCCATTCCCTCACATTGCTTTGAAGATATGAAGAAAATTAAAAGTAAAATTTGGTGTGGAATTAGATCTTGTGGGTTTGGGTTTTATTAAAGGCATTCCTTAGATTCTCAGGAAAGGTTTTCTGAGGGAGCCTCAAGGGAGTGCCTTATGGTTCTAGTCTTCCTCAAGTTTCCCCTCTGAGTCAACACTTTGTCCACTGTGAAACCTGCTTGAGGGCAAAAAGGAGCAGAAACCAGCAGTTTCATCTCCCATAAAACTCTGCCAGCACCGGTGGCTCACATCTGTAATCCTAGCTACTTGGGAGGCTGATATCAGGAGGACTGTGATTTGAGGCCAGCTCGGGCAAACACTCATATAGAGATCCCATCTCCAAATTAACCAGAGCAAAAGGAACTGGAGTTGTGACTCAAGTGGTAGAGCATCCAAAGCCCTGAGTTCAAATCCCAATCTCACCAAAAAATTAAAAAATAAAAATCAACCAGTAAGAAATGAAGAAAAGCATTTCAACAGAGGCAAGAAGTCCAATGTGAATATGCACAACATCTTTGAAAATCTAGAAATATTGTCGATTTGGCAGAAAATAAATCAAAGTTCTAAGACATTCTCCACAAACCTGCATTTTTTAACCAGCAGGAAGAATTAAAATCCCCAGACTTTAGTAGCAATAACATGAAGTTACTTAAGTAAAAAAAAACAATCACCAATTCCTTAGATTTGTATTTCCCAGGGTGACTGGGAGTCAGTGGTGATATGTAGAGCGGGCGTGTTGAAATGCACTCACACAAACACAGTTTACACATACTTTCCGAAGAAAAAAATCTAATTACAGAAATATCTCCGTGTAAATTTTAGAGATGAGCTGAAAGTCATGGACTGAAATATCATCTCTGCACAGTCAGAAAGATGACTTGACTTACTTGCATGCATAGCTGTCTACGGCTTCAACATATATGCACACACCATCGTGGAGACAGTACCCATCATGTGACGGGGGACATCCAGGGTAACTATTTCTGACCAGAGGGCGGCCATCTTCCCCAGGTGGAGAGGGTGAAGTAGAGTCTGGAAGAATCAGACATTACTTTTATTTTCTGGAAGTGATTAGGCTTTTTTGGGTATCGATACCAGGACTGGTTTTGATCTGTGGTTATGGTGTTTTTTTAGTGACAGTAGAAACATCAGAACTAATGACAGTTTCACTTTCCAACTGGTCCTTCTTTCTTTAGGTTCAGATTAGCTGATAGGAAGCAAATTGGGGGCAAGTAATAGAATGGTCGATATTAAATTACCATATGAATTTGACCACTGATTTCATATAAAAGCAAATCTGTCATCCAGAAACATACACCAAACATGTGAAATGACTGCTGATTTTGAGAAGGTCTCATTGCACAACCACTGTTTTGTATAGATGAAAACTGCCCATCAACACACAGTCCATTACCCCCCAAACTCTGGAAGTCTCAAAAATTTCTCCCAAACAATGTTTTCTTCTAAACTTTGGGGGCCCTCAGACACAAGAGTGTAGCAACTTTGACAGGAGAAAATGTTGTGATAAAGTGGTAGAGTCGCATTTTATTGAATGGTTCACTATTCTTTAAAAGAAAAACATCAGGGTGTATATCCATTTTTCAATACCTTTAAGAAAATTATCTGAGAAAAATAAGGTGCTTTAAAAAAACCCAGATGGGGGAGAGGGTAGGGGTCGGGGGCAAGGGGGAGAAAAGACCCAAACAATATATGCACATGTGAATAAGTGAATTAAAAAAAAACCCCAGAAACCAGGCAAAGTGCAAAACTTTCTGTCCTGTGGATATTTTCTGCTTGCAGTAAGAAGGAAGGAGCCTCCAGCCTGGTTTCCAGGGACTTGGTGAAACCTTCTGTCCTTCTGGGGTGCTGATGGTAAGAAGCTACTACTGTTATAAGGAGAAGGTTCCAGAAGCAAAAGGCCACCATTATGAATGTTTATAAAAGAAAGCAAAGATAGCAGGAGTGCTAACTTATATCAAGAAATGCTGCCTTTTTTTGGTGGGGGAGGGTCTTTCCTTTTTTGGTGCCGGAGATTGAACCCAGAGTCTCGCAAGAAATAATGACTTTGTTTTTTGGAAGTACTGAAGTTTCAACTCGGGATCTCACACTTGCTATGCAGGTGCTCTACCAATTTTTTTAATTCTTTAAAGTGATTCTTATTATTCACCCTTCACCACACCCCTTTACTGAAATACTGCTAGGGTTCTCTGTTGCCTATAGTTGTGCCATCCAACACGGCAGTCATTGATACATGGGAGTAATAAGCTCCTAAAATGTCTTTAGTCTTTCCTAAGCTGTGTAGTAAGTGTAAAATAAACACCAGATTTTGAAGACTTTGTGCCAAACTTTAAAAGAATGTAAAATATTTCAATTTTATACTGATTACATATTTAAATATTAATATTTGGATAGATGAGACTAAATAAAATATATTATTAAAGTCCACACATTCACATGACCTACCTGGCCCTGCAAAGCTTTTCCAGTAGCCCCCAAGTTCAGTCTTACCAATTGGAAGATTAGTCACATAGTTACAGAGAAACACCTCTGTGTGCACCTGTATTGAACTGTGCATAATAAAATAGGCTTTATTCTAGATCTATTAAACTAAGGAAGTCTGGGCTATTTCAAGTTCTTAAGCCCAGCATCAACCTGATGAAGGAAGTCAGCTCTCCAGCCTGATTGAACTGAGTGATTTCTGGAATCTCTAATGCAAATACCCTGACGTACACAATATTCTGAACCAAATCCTTCACCTCCATCTACATGCACCCACCTACCAGGGCAAGTCAGTCCAGGTGCAGACAGGTGACCGGCACATAGGCAGCTGTAGCCTCCCTCTGTATTTGTGCAGTTGGCATCCCCTCCACAGCTGTGCACCCCCAACTGGCACTCATCAATATCTACCAGAAAAGCAAGAGTAAGAAGAGAAAAGTAGAAAACCGAGAAGGAAGAGGGTTATGCTACCAGAAAATCCAACCGTCTAGAAGGTAGGCATCTTCACCTTCTGTCACACTGCGTGTTCTCAGGGCCCTATACATTTTCAGGGGTCCTATCATGAACATTGACACTGAACTGTATCCTTGACCACACACCCATTCAGGTGTTCTAGGCTCCAGACAGAAGGCTGGAAAGATTTTCCCCCTGCTTGGAAGAAAAGGGGACTTCCCAAATTGGACACTGAAAAACTACCTCCAGGCAAACATTTAAAAGTGAAGATCCTGAAATGCATACTTTTGCAAACAGACTTCTTGCCACTGACATAAATATTATGCCAAATGAAATATTTTTGCTTTTTAAACACAAATATGAACTATATAAATAAGTCATCCTTTCCTTCCCAGCTACCCACCTTTTTCTTTCTCAACTACTAACCACCCTAACATTTTAGATCTTTCCTTCCTCTTAGTTTTACACTACTACAGGAACAGCCTCACTGCATTCTCACATCCATGTTTCCTCTACCCTACTCTTAAACACCATGTCAGATCCTTTCTCCCTAAATTACAATGATGTGAAGCCATCACCTCACCCCTTTACTGAAATGCTGCCAGGGCTCTCTGTTGCCTACAGCTGTGCCATCCAACATGGTAGCCCTTGCCTCATGGGAATACTGAGCTCCTGAAATGCCTCTCACCTGTATTGAGCTGTATAGAAAGTGTAAAATGCAGAACAGATTTTGAAAACTCAGTATAAAATTACAAATATAAAATATCCAATAATTTAATACTATTATATAATTAAAATCTTCATATTTTCGATATACAATAAATAAAATCTATTATTAAAATCAATTTCACCTACTTCTTTATTCATGTTGTAATATGGTTACTAGAAAATTTAGGACAGAGCAGATTCAGGGAAGGAAAACCCCAATGACTGAGCTTCATACTCTAGTCTTCCATAAAAGCTATCCATCGGATATATATAGGGACTGAACTGTCTTCCCACAAATTCGTATGTTGAAGCCCTTGCTCCCAGCATCAGGACTATCTGGAGATACGGTCCATAAGGAGCTAGGTAAGGTCAAATGAGGGCAGAAGGGTGAGCCCCAAAAGAACAGGAAGAAGCACCAGAATCTCGTGGTGTGTGTGTGTGTGTGTGTGTGTGTGCGCCACAGAAGAAAGACTAAGTAAGGATACAGCAAGAAAGTAGCTGTCTGCATGCCAGAAAGAGATTCTTCAACAGAACCAAGGCAGTCAGCAAATTTATCTGAGTCTTCCAGCCTCCAGAACGCTGAAAAAATATATTTCTGTTGCTGAAGTCGCCCAGTCTATGGTACTTGGTTATGGCATACACTTCTCTACCCTACACACTGTGTCTCCTCATAATACTGTTACTCCTTATTCCCTAAAGAAGTCGTAGGTTTGTTCATTGCCTGAAATACTCTCACCTCTTCACATTTCCACCTAATTAATATCACTCATGCCCCTCCAAAATGACACTTTCTCTGTGAACTCTTACCCAATACCTTAGATATTTCTCCCAGTTCTAAGTCTCCATTGCAGTTTCACTCCTCTTATAATGTGCACCTTTCTTCACTACTTCTCACAGCTGTACTTTTTAAAATTACATTCTCCTTGAAAGCAAGGACTGACTTCCTTATCTTGGCATTCCTCACAGTTCCTAGTACTACCCCTTTGCACCTGACAGGGACCAATGACATTTATCACATTGATTCGCTATCCTGATTGATTCACTATTAATTTTTTTAAACTTTGGCTTTCTTTCTAATCTCAAGTTATAAGTCCTCTTTCACCCTGAGAGAGCTCTTCCAGAAGCAAAACAAAGATGAATTCTTGACTGAGAAACACAATTATTCTCAGCAATAAGAATAGTGACAACACTTTTATGTGCCAGGTATAGTTCAAGGCATCTGATCCACAGAAACACACTGGGAGAGAGGGAGACAAAGAGGAAGAGTGTAGGAGCACACACCCATGGCTTCCATGGGCCCAAGGATCCATGAAAGAATCTGATGAGTTGAAATATCTGAGAAAGGATACCTTCTTTTTTCTTCAAAGGAAATGAAATGTGAAGTCTGTTAGGTCTAAATTATCTATGAGCCTGCTTAATTAGAGCAGTGACATTTTCCTGACAGACAGCCAAATATGTGCTTAAAAGAGTGTTTTCAGATGTCTCTAAATGTCTCTGAGACTAATGTCTCAGAATTAATCTGATAAAGGTCTGGTTTAAGCCAACCAGATCAGAAAATGGAGCGCTGTGATTTTTCATTCATCTTGAACCTTAACTCGTGGGAGAACGCACCATCATTTGAGTTTCTTACCGGGGCATCTGCCCCTCACTGCAAAAACACTTTTATGTTTTCAGAAGAAGAAAAAGAAAACATTGGAAGAGGAATTGTGAAGGCATGTGAAACCACAGCACTGCTGCACTGGGTGCGGGTGGCTTCAGCAGGTCCCCACTTGTGCGGTGAGGCAGTGCTACTGACACCTGGGAAGGCGAAAGGCACCACAGAGTGAACTCCCAACCCACAGACCCCACCCAGACCTTGGCAGAGTCTGGTGGTTACGAAAGGGCTGTGATCACTCTGTACTTGTAAGCTAGATGTCAGAGGCTTGAATCTTCCATCTTTTGAACTTTCAAGAAACCCCATGAGCCCTGTCATGGAACCACATCTTTTCTTTATGCACACTCAGCGATTTCCAATAACCCACATCAGCTCTACAGATTTCCACATTCCAGTCACAAATTCAGTGACAAAGAAATGCTGTCCAATTCCCACCTGATAGTTCAAGGCATAGAGCCCTAATAAGACACTGGTGTCACTCATACCCCAAAGAAAGAGCTAGAAAGGCAGAGGGATAGGCAACCTCCCAAGAAGCTGGAAGTGACTAGTGGAGTCATGCATGACCAAGGGCACTAATGAGACTTTACCGAGAACTGAAATAAGTCCTTCTGAACTGGTCACACAACTCCTCTTTTGCTCTTGACTTGGGGGTCACCCCTATTATATGCTATCTTCTTTTGGCCCATTGCACTCACAACTTTTTATGATTCTCCAAGTCTTGTCCCCACCCTGTCCCAGGGCACCCAAGCTCTCTCACCAAGACAGTGAATCCCATCTCCTTGGTAGCCTTCTGAGCACTGGCAGACATAGCTGCCTTCAGTGTTGATGCACTTGGAGGAAGCAGGAGGGCAAACTGTGCTCCCCATCTCACACTCATCTATATCTGTGGGCAAAATTATGAACTAGTGAAATATTCAGGCACTCTTGCATAAATGGGAATCACAGTAAACATTAAGCACGATCTTTTGTTCAATCATTTAACTGTTAACAGGTACTGTTTGCAAATGTAACACAAATCCTGCTTCTTGGATATGAAGTTCACTTTTGAATTAATTTTTACAGAGTTCCACCTGTCTGAATAGCTAATGATTTGCAAATAAATCATTTTGTGCCATAGTTTCAGATTATGAGTGAAATTTTCCCAGAAATCACTAACTTATCATTTTAAGGCTGTCAATATAAAATAGAACTCTATCATAATGTGTTTATTTGACTAAAACTAAAGCTTATATATTAAGCTTCAGGGAAATGTTCTGTTTTCATTGGAACTAGTAAGTTCATAAATTTAACTTGAACTCAAATTCCTTGCTTGTAAAACTAATGTCAGTTGCATTAATCGTAATTTTAATATAAACTCAATATAATATGGGTTAATATTAGATTTAATATATTTATATGTCTCAAATTTTGTATGCATATCATCCTTTTTTAAGGTAACATCAAATAATTTATTTAATCCTGCTGATTACATACATCCTTCTGGAGATTTTGAGTCAGTAAGAACAAAAGGAATGTTTCTGGCTCACAATTTCTCAAATATGTGTATTTGTTCTCTGCTCTTACCAGAACACAGCTTTCCATCCCCTGCAAATCCGTTCAAACACTGACACGTAGCAGCCTCCTCTCCCTCAGAAACACACCGAGCGTGCCCACCACATCGCTCAGGGGCACAGTCATCCTGATCTGCAAACGGCAAGAACCCCCGGTGATTATTTCCAGACCTTTGAGAAGAAAATAGAATTTAATATTCCAGATTGCACAGACCATTCCAGTACTTCCTTCCTGAAGTTCTGCTAGCCTCCAAATAGAAACCCCTTGTTGACATATAAGCTGTAAGTATATTATAGGACCCAGAAGCCACATGTTTCTGTTTACATGCTAACAAACATCAGTCATTTTTTGATTTTTTGAGACAAGTTCTCTCTATGTAGCCCAGGCTGACCTCCAACTCAAGATCCTCCTGCCTTAGCCTCCAAGTGCTAGGCTCACAGGTGGTCACCACTAAGATCAGCTAAACTTCAGTATTAAAGAACTATCTCATATTTAAAGGGTCCTGTGTGGACTTGTTTATAATTTTTTAAAAAGTATTTGCAAGTTTGAACTATAACATTGCTAGGAATCAAGACTCAATTTTTAACAGGTTTATTACTTACTTAAAAATTCCCAACCACTATAACATATAAAAGGAATCAACCTATTCTTCTGCCCCAAAGACACACAGACTAGTATCTAAGCAAGCAGATATTAATTCATGGTAGAGTTTAAATCACAGAAAGATTTATTATCAATTTGCTAATACCATATTTCATATATAATAGAATATGTATGTCACAACATGTGTTTATTATCAAGATTTATGCAGTGACTTGCAAACCTCCCAGCACTTTTGCAAAGTCTTGAACCATCCAAGTTAAATATTGTAAATGGATCATTTCATGCCATATTCCACTGAAACACAAGTGCCCTCAGGGACAGGGCTACATGTTCAGTCATAAACATGAGCAGGATTTTCTTTGTTTTTGTCTTTTTTGCTTTAATGACTTATGTATACAAACGTTCTCCGAATGCCACCCACCACCCCTTTTTTTGAGTTGGAGGATCTGACATACCACAGTAGGATATAAATAACGTCCAAGTCTTCACTGCTAAGTTTGTTCATCTGAACATAGACGCTCTCCAAACTTGTCCATAAATCAAAGAAGTTTAAATGATCTAAGCATGTGCTATGTGATTATAGACACTAGGTAGTTATTTTTGATTAGCTTAGCTACTTGACAGGAAAGGTTTCTGTTGCAGGGACACATGCCTTTTGTGCTTGCTTGGTCAACTCCTGTCATGACTCAGGATGGGTAATTTCACAGTAAATGAATTAACTATTTCATTCAGCATTTATTTGGAAGACTAGCTCAGAGTGCAGGTAGATAGTATCCAAATTCCCAAGACATTTAAATCATTTACAGTATCATCCTAAATTAGAATATGGTTCAGCATTTGTTAACTTGCAAACCTAGTGTTAGCTTTTCATAGTGAAAAGCAGTAGATATGTAGTTCTGGGAAGGGTAGGCTAGAGCCAAAGCTCTCTCTGCCACAAACTAATTCTGGACACAGTGTCTATGCTCACCTTCTAGAAATTTCTGCAACAGAATCCCTATGGTAATCCTCTTCTCTAAATTATGGATGGCAGTTTCTTCTAGGTTTACTTCCCATGATTGTTGTAAGGACAAGAAGAAAAAGGGACTTTTGAAAAAAAAAAAAACTCCTCTGAGAATTTAAAAATCCTGTACATATTTAAATAAAGATGACAAAGAGTGGTACCTGATAATCTGAACAAGAATTAGCAAGAATTAGCCCCCTCGGGGCTGGGATTATAACTCAGTGGCAGAGCACTTACAGAGAATGTACAAGGCCCTAGGGTTTAGCCCCAACACTGGGAGAAAAGAAAAAAGAAAAAAAGAAAGGCTCATCATGCTAGAACAGGCTCTGAGGCCTGTTGGTAAAAACAAAATTCATCCAGGCGAAAATTATAGTGATGAAAAATATAGACAAGGGCTCTGCTTTTTGCATTATTACTGTAGTAGTATAAGTGTAATAAGTATGAACAAAGAATTGTACAGGGTTCTAAGAGAGTCATTATAAGCAACCTCATGTGGTCAAGGACTTGCAAAAGATTTCTGGCCAAGAGCATATTAAACGGAGACTCTATGGCAGGATTTGGAAGAGTTAAAAAGAGCTCTTTGGGCTGAAAAAGCCACACTTGGATGTTGCAGACAAGGCCAATGTAACTGCAGTGTAACGAGGGAAGGCCAAGGCCAGAGGGCCAGGCACATTAAGACTTTTAGAATTTATTACAATTCCAATGTGAAAATTTTTCTTTCTTTCCCAATGTGAAATTTTCAAGCTTTTTTTTCTTTTTCTTTTTTTTTTTTTTGGTAACACTGGGGTTTGAACTCGGGGCTTCATGATTGCTGGGCAGGTGCTCTACCACTTGAGTCCCACCACCAGTCCTTTTTGCTTTGGTTACTTTTGAGATAGAGTCTTGCTTTATGTCTGGGATGGCGTGGATCAAGATACTCATATTTGTGCTTTCCTGACTAGCTGGGATGACAGGAGTGTGTCACCACACCCAGCCACTGGATGAAATTTGGTCTCACAAATTTTTGCCTGGGCTGGGTTTGAACTGCAGTCTTCCTGAGTAGCTAGGATTACAGGTACGATCTGGGTTTCAACATTTTTGAATCATAGATATTTTGTTAACAAGAATTCTCACTCTGAAACATAAATAAGGCCCCTTAGCCTAGTCTAAATGGAACTCAAACTTCATAGGCTAGCTCAAAACAGAACAGCAGGTATGGAAAGACAAGATTTTTTGTTGTTGTTGCTGTTTTTAACCAAAAGTTGGTTCATCTATTCTGCTGTAGGCAGAGTATATTCTCCACACATGAAGTCAAACACAGACTACTGCAGACATATTCACAAATCTTTGGTCACATCATCACATCCCCACTCCACATGTTACTGTCTGTCATCTACCTTAGCCTTTAAGCACTTAGTGAAGAGGAAAGTTGCCTTGAAACAGGGCGTAATACATGGGAAGCTGCCAATTAAAAGCTATAAAAGAGGTTACCTCAAACAGGGCCGTAAGGCATGAGAAACTGCCAATTAAAGCTATACAAGAAAGTTCAGAGCAAGACAAAGATTATCACCCATTCCCGCCTTCCTTTGTCTCCACCTGTAAATAAGCTTTCCAAAGCAGTTCTCCCCTGCTGTTTTTAACTGAACAACCTTGGGTCTCTAACTCACTACTAGCCCCAATTAATCGGAGCACATTCCTGGTAACCAGATGCCCTGCACTGCCTTTTAAAAATCCTGTAAATCTTTTGGGGAGAGGTTTTTGGGGTTTTTTTTTGCCTTTTCTTTTTTGGTGCTGGGATTGATCCTGTAAATCTTTTGTTCAGTGCTCAGACACAGTATGTGAATCTGTCTGGGTCCACTGTCGTAAAATAAAATCTGAGTCCTCCACTTCTCCGAGTGTCGCTTGGTTTCTCATCTGTCAATATTTCTGCAACACTAGAACTTTAGTGTTGCAGAGTATATTCTATCAACCACTAGGAATCCCTGATGACTTTGCAAAGGTTCTCTATCCTGCCAATATTGATTGATAGTGATTTAGTCTATCGGACCACTTGTCCCTACATAAGACTGTGACCTGTGGACTAAGATTATATTTAGCACACCTCAGTATCTCCAGTACCTAGTATAGTTAGTGTATTCTCAATAAATTGCTAAATGAGGAATTTTCCCGATGTGACCATTTTTTCTACTACTTCTTATTTTAAGCGTGAATCAATTATCATAACTGATAATTTTCAAAACCTTTAGTCAAATCACTAATTCATATACCTTAGTCTCAGTTTTTGCATCTGTAAAATGCAAAAGGATACAATAAGGATCAAAATAGAACTACACTTAGCCAGGCGCAGTGGTTCATGCTGTAATCCCACCTCTGCAGTAGGCGTAGGTAGGAGGATTGCTGCTCAAGACCAGTCCCAGGCAAAGAGTGCGTAAGCTAAGTCTAAAAGGGCTGCCTTGGCAAGCGTGAGGCCCTAAATACCACCAAAAAAAGAAAAGAGAGCATATTTAAAATACATGGTAAATGCTAAAACTCCGTACAAATGTTAGTTATTATTAATATGAAAACAGATATATATATTTAAATCTTATCAAAAATCATACTGATAAGGGTCAGGTATAAGGTCCCCAGAGCCCTATACAAGTCTGCAGATCACAGAACCCAGGAAAGCACTTCAATAAATGTCCTCATGTGGAGTTTTCAAACTTTTTTTTTAGCTACAGACATTCTGGTAAAATAAAATGTTACTTAGTAATACATACAAATGAAATGTTTCAAGGTCAAGGTAGGCTGCTTTGATAGAAGGGCAGTGACTTACAGGGAAAGAATAGTGGGGCTTTCAGAAGTTCTGGGGCTCAGTTTAAAATCTAATAGATATAGGTTCTACAATGTTATTACATATTCAGTAAATCACTTGGCATTTTGGTGATAAATGTGCAATATATAAGACAAGAGTTCTACCATTTTCTGTTCATGGACGTTCTGCAGCAGTTGAGGTAGCCAACCTATATTTGATGATCAATTGCTACCAACGCTCCATGCCAGATGAACCAACTACCAACAATAATAGGTAGAGATAGGCATGCCTTAAATCTCTTCTGTCTTAATTTTTACCTTCATTTCCAAGTTATCTTTCTTCAAAGAACATTCGTCTCAAAGACTCTCAATATGTACAGTTCATATTCAAACTAATGTGGCTCTGGACACATGATTCAGAAGAGAAGGACTTGAGTCCAAGATTTGGCTTCGTTAGCCTTGTATACATTTAGCCAATATTAAGCTAAAGTGATAATTCAGAATGAAAATTGGTAGAATGGAAATTATTGGAGCCCAACCTATACTGGAGAACTCATTATTCGTACCTGACACCATGATTTCCACCATTAGCGTGTGCTGAGATTCTGTAATGTTATCTTCTGATGCTCTAATCTTAGATACGTTGTCCAATGGTGTTGTCTGGTTACTTAGGCCAGCTTCACCACCTGTCAAAGACCAACAGATACAATTCAATCAGTTTTTCTGTTTCAAGGAAAGTTTGATTGAATTTATATTCACAGCTGTTTGGTTATGAGTTCAGACTCATTCTTTCAGTAAAAGGATTTAATGGAACTGGCAGGGTTTGGTGACTTAGTAAATCTCATTTGCTATCCCACACTCTCCCAGTGTCCCACATTCAGTGCCCTTAGTGGAGACAATGGGGAAGAAAGACGGGACTCTTTTAGGTCTGGGCAAATCCAGAAAGAGTAAAACATCCAAACCCTTATGAACATAATTAGCTCAAAATCATAGAATGCCTTAACTAAGGACAAGTTAGTGAGATTATCTCCCCATCGTCCTCCAGTGCACTCCTTCTTCCTTTAGGCTGCTTTCATGTTTACTAATTTAGCCTGACAGGACTTCCCTAAATTGTTTTCTACAGACCCCTAGGTTCCACTGCAAAGTCCACAAGGTCAAAACTGTCTTCAGCAAAATAGTAAGCTGTTATTTGCCTCTTTTCACTGTGTTCATCTTCATATTGATATGGCAAAAGTAATGATGGTACAACTGTGGTACCATGGCATGAATCAAGGTGATCTCTCCACCCCCATGAGAAAGAAGCTCATGGTGAAGCTATGAGAATTACTAATTTTTAAAATTCTCAGCTATTAATAAAGGAAATGCAAATTAAAACCACACTAAGATTCCACCTCACCCCTGTTAGAATAGCCATCATCAGCAACACCACCAACAACAGGTGTTGGCGAGGATGCGGGGAAAAAGGAACCCTCTTACACTGTTGGTGGGAATGTAGACTAGTACAACCACTCTGGAAAAAAATTTGGAGGCTACTTAAAAAGCTAGACATCGATCTACCATTTGATCCAGCAATACCACTCTTGGGGATATACCCAAAAGACTGTGACACAGGTTACTCCAGAGGCACCTGTACACCCATGTTTATTGCGGCACTATTCACAATAGCCAAGTTATGGAAACAGCCAAGATGCCCCACCACTGATGAATGGATTAAGAAAATGTGGTATCTATACACAATGAAATTTTATGCAGCCATGAAGAAGAATGAAATGTTATCATTCGCTGGTAAATGGATGGAATTGGAGAACATCATTCTGAGTGAGGTTAGCCTGGCCCAAAAGACCAAAAATCGTATGTTCTCCCTCATATGTGGACATTAGATCAAGGGCAAACACAACAATGGGATTGGACTTTGAGCACATGATAAAAGCGAGAGCACACAAGGGAGGGGTGAGGATAGGTAAGACACCTAAAAAACTAGCTAGCATTTGTTGCCCTTAATGCAGAGAAACTAAAGCAGATACCTTAAAAGCAACTGAGGCCAATAGGAAAAGGGGAACAGGTACTAGAGAAAAGGTTAGATCAAAAAGAATTAACCTAGAAGGTAACACCCATGCACAGGAAATCAATGTGAGTCAATGCCCTGTATAGCTGTCCTTATCTCGACCAGCAAAAACCCTTGTCCCTTCCTGTTATTGCTTATACTCTCTCTACAACAAAATTAGAAATAAGGGCAAAATAGTTTCTGCTGGGCATTGAGGCGGGGGGGAGGAGAGGGAGGGGACAGAGTGGGTGGTAAGGGAGGGGGTAGGGGCAGGGGGGAGAAATGAACCAAGCCTTGTATGCACATATGAATAATAAAAAAAAAATTCTCAGCTATTGAATACATGGTCTTTTACTACTCTGTGTAATAAAATGAGACATATAAGGGCTGGTGGAGTGACTCAAGTGGTAGAGCGCCTGCCTAGCAAGTGTAAAGTCCTGAGTTCAAGCCCCAGTATCACCAAATAAATAAATAAATAAAATGAGAAATATACATTAAAATGATTCCAGTGCTTACTGAAGTTATAACTGTTACCTACAGGAAAAGCAGTTGGGTGATATTTGAGTTGTGAGCTTAAGTAAAAACTTTCTTTCCCAACTCCATGCCTTTTAAGGACAGATTTTCTTCATAGACTTCAACTAAAAAAACACATAATAGATGTAATTTAGAAGTCTATATAAGAATCCAGCTGGCCTCTCTCTACTAAGCCAGACTTAAAGCTATAAACGTATAACGAGGCTATTCTTCTCACACTATATTGTTTGCTTTGGAAAATATACTTATTTATTTCTTGCAATAAAAATGTGTTATGCTCATATAGTAAATTTGTTATTATAGTTTTAACAAAGATTTTGGTTTCAATTTTTAATTTCTAAATACTAACAGATATTACCCACATAAACAAAAACTCTTTATATTTCCCAACAAATGTTTTTAAGAGTGTAAAAGGGTCCTGAGACTAAGAGGTATGCCACTATTGTCCTAAGTCAACCAATTCTGAAATCTAAAATACCCAACTTAGGTCCATGGATGGAACAATCTATAATCCATTCATTTGTTGTCATTCGTCACTGAACTTATATTTATACCATGACTACCAGATAAATAGGAATCTTTAAAGAAAGGTTTAATAAAATTTAAATTTTCTTTGGAATATTTTTGATACAAAGATATCAAAAGATGATACCAGTGACTCACACCTATAATCCTAGCTATTTTGGAGGCTGAGATCTGGTTTGAGGGCAGTCTAGGCAAATAATTTGCAAACTCTATCTCCAAAATAACCAGAGCAAAATGGACTGGAGTTGTGACACAAGGATAGAGTGCCTGCTTTGCAAGCATAAAGCCCTGAGTTCAAATCTCAGTCCTACCACAAAAAAAAAAAAACCCAGATGATTCCAATGCACCTAGACTGGGCACATACTGGAGGCAGGTGGGCCAGTGTTGAACACATCATGCTGGTTTACTCTCCTTCTTCTCAAAGTCACATTTAGTTTATAAAGAAGTAGGCCACAAGCCCCCTCAGGTTGAATTTCCCATATTTGTTGCAACAGTTCTCTAAATATTTTTTGTGAGATGATAAAGATCTGGCATTTATTTCCAAGCCTGGGCCTACTCCCGTACAAATGGAGAAGCTATGGGGACTGGAGCTTAAGACTTTTACAACTAGAAGTCAATAAAACTTAACTTGTGGTAAAGAACCCAAAATTCATCACAGGGGGATAAAAACCCAAACACACTCTTAGCGTTCCTAAAAACACAGGAGCTTTTTAATAATACAAACTATTAAAAATCAGCAAAAGCAGAGAGATGATCCACCAGTATACCTCCAAGCCCAGGTAAGATAATTTAGCTGCATAATTTACAATATTACCAGCCAGTTTCCGTTGATCCTTCAGAGCAAGACACATTTTCCCATCTGGAGCTTTCCTAAAACCTTCACGACAGGAACAGTGAGCCATTCCAAACCTCCCTTGGCAAATATGTTCACAGCCTCCATTCTGATGTAGGCAGGGATCTACACCTAATGGAGAAAAGAAAAAAGAAGCAAATTCACATGTGGGTTTGAAGGTGTAATGGATGAGATTGATGTAGAGCACAATCAACAGCCTTGGGGAAAGAACTCAGGAGACCTAACTACACGGTCTGTTATGAGCTACTTCAGAAGAGCCCCCACCAGGAGCCTCTGAGATAACCTCAAAATGCTATTACCTTATGAGTATTTACTGAATAGAGCCAGTACTGTAGTTCTACAAGCTCTTTGGTAAGATGGGGTTCCTAGTTCCTCATTTTGTGTCTAGTCAAACTGGCAATTCAGAAAGAAGGGCTCTTGATTCCCTCTTCCGTATTTTTGCTCCTGGCTGGCACTCACTGGCTGGCATGGCAAGGAACTGAGAAAAGCCCAAGGGTAGGTAGAAGTTTCTATCACAAGAATCTCAATTGCCTGCCCTTAGTGTGTGTAACCCAAAGATCTTTGAAATGTAGCAAGTAAGTAAAAGCTCTTGGGGAGTGTAGGGGTAGATAAGGCTGTTGGTATAAAGTCCAAGTTTCCAAATTTACAAAGTTATTTACCAGACTCTCAGAGCATCTTAGTTCAAATGAAGTCCAAATCTTAGAAAATCTTAGCATCTACGCAGAGTGGTGAAGATTACAAAATCCCTTCCGCCCCCACTGCTTGCTATCATCATTTAACAGAGTTGCAGCTTCCGGCCAAGGAAGGCCTGAGGAACTTCTCCAGTGTACCTGGTTTTGCCAATGGGTGGACCACAACCAGTGACGAGGGCTTCAGCATGCTGCCTTGGAGACGTACCCTAGTTTTGCCAGTCCTCTTGTTCACCCTTATTACCGATGGCATAGCCCAATCCGAGAACCACACATGATCCTCAAACACAGCTACAGCAAATGGGTGACCTGTAAGTAATTTGAAGCCATTAAATACACCTTCATTGTCTTTGCAATGAATATTTACAAGAAGACAGGGTTTGAAACTTGCACGATTCCTACACTATATCAGGTCTGTACTATAGCTGCTCAGCCAGGTGTAGCTGCTGACTGACAACTGCATTAAGAGGACTTCACCCTTAGACTGAGAGCCTGGTGGAAGGAAGGCCTAGGAAAGCCCATTGTCACCCATTATCCCATACCCAGTGTGAGAATGTTGGCTGCCTATAACATGGAGAAGAAAGCCAAGGTGGGACCGTTCTATATTCAGTACATCTGCCACTGTTTATAGACTACACTCACGTATTTTCTTTGCTTCTCTTTGCTTTGGGTTCCTAGTCTTTTCAATGCTTGTCATAAGTAAGAGGCCAAACTCACAGCTGTTGTAAGAATTTTTAAACATCTGAGGTAACTAAATGTTCCTTCAGATTTCTGTTTTTACCAACATATTTCCCTGCGTTAACTTCTCCCCACCACCATCCCTCCACCACTACTTCCTTCCCTCTCTCTTCTCTCATCTAATATTAGTCTAGTTGCTGTGTCCCTGATGTCATCCTTCCTGCTTTATCTTGGGCCTTGTTTCATCAACAATTACCCATTTCCTATATATTCACTCTCTTCCCCCTGCTAGCTTCTTTCCCTAGTCTACTGATATCCTGCCTCTGGCCTTAATTTCCTCCTCCCCGTGACCTCTCTAGCTTCTCTTTCCTTCCCTTCTTAAAGGATTTTTCTTGCAAGAGTCATTTATTATCTGCTGCCTCCATTTTCATGGCTTCTGCTGACCCCCTGGTGGGCTACCTTCCAAGTCTTCCTCAACTAAAGCCACCTCTCTGGGCTACTACTGCTTTCACAAGGCATTCAAGTACTTAACAAGCTGGGAAGTGTACCACATACGTCACGCATGTGTACACTAAAGCTAGGAAGACCCAGAGCTGGAAGCTACACTCATGTCTACTCACATGCCCCAGGTGAGTAATTTTGCAAGTGAGTAATGGATTTGGTGGATTACAGTCAATGTCTCCCTCCTGTGGTGGAAAACTCTAATGATTTGTCCTAACGACAGCGAGTTTTCACCCATCGTTATTAACCAAGATCACTACATTCATTTCTCCAGTCTTCCGTACCAATTTAAAACCATACATAAAGCAAGGGAAGTTTTTACGTAACTACAGTTCTTTTTATTGTGGTTTTTAAAACCCTATAACACAAAATTTACCATCTTCACTTTTCAAAGTATATAGTTCGGTAGTGTTAAGTCATGCAACCCATCTCCAGAACTCTTTGTCTTGGAAAACTAAAACTCTATATTCATTAAACAACACCTCATTTCCCTCTCCCCCAGCCCTTGGAAAATGCCACCCTACTTTCTGTTCGCATGAATTTGACTACTTTAGATACATCAAACACGTGGAATTGGACAGTATTTATCTTCTTGTGACCAACTTATTTCACTTAGCATAATCTCCTCAAAATTTGTCCGTTTGAAGCATGTATTAGAATTAGATAATAAACATTATTATTAGAATACAATAAACATAATCTTCCTTGTTTTTAAAATCAAAATCCACAACTAATCACATTTTTAAATTCAGAATGAATTTAATGTAATGAATTTAGTGTAAACTCAATGTTTACACTAAAAATTCTCAACAGGAAGCTGAGAAGTCAGCACATACATTGCAGTAGATGGCGCTGTAGTGATGGGAACGGTCGCTTAGACACCATGAAGTATTTGATCACGGTCTTCGATAGGGAGTTCCATTGGTCAGATAACAGTAACAGCTCAAACTATGACATACCTACTGTGCTTTTAGGTCTAGAATATGAGGTGTCTATATTCTGGTCAGGAGTTTCCAAATCCCTTTCTACCCTCTTACAACAAAACTATAATTTTACAGTTACTCGGGTTATGTTTTTTAAATAATGAAGCCTCCCTCCTAGAGTTCACGACAGAAGTCATATTCATTTCACTCACTGCTGTGTCTCTACTTCTTCCACTTCGTGACCTATTCAATAAATACCTGTTAAGTACCTGGGTGGACAAAGCCTATAATTGTATATAAGCTTATCATTGATTATGAAGTATATGCTTAAATTTTAAAGATCATAACAATTTTTGAGGATCATAAAAGATCATAAGATCTTTTTCCATGTCATATCTTGTCCCATGTCATATAGTAGTATCTAGAAACTCACTGCCTCTAAAACTAAAGGGAATTGGCAAAATGAATGTTTTACACAGACAGTTAGCTTGTTAGCTTCCTCCTAAATGGGAAGGACCATTCAGTTTCACCTTCCCAACCAGCTCTTAAATCTCCAAATCTCCGAAAGGCCTTCGACACCTATCCGACTCTCATCTTCTATGTCCAGCCTTCATCAGACCTTCACAATGTTCTACCCACAATGATTATCACTACTCTTATCTGTCATCCCACTTTTAACTGACAATGTTCTAGCTAAGGCCTTCAAGAACAGTTGCCTGGACAACAGTTGCAGTCTCCTACCTGACTTCTTCTCTCTAAATTCCACTCCATCCCTATACTGTCATCTAAGTGGTTATCCTGAGATGCCAATCTTATTATACACATCTGCTTAGGAACATTCAATGGCTCCCTAGTAAATTCAGAGCTAAGTTCACCCACCATATCCCGGCAGTTCTAACATACAAAGTTCAATATTTGCCTTTTATCACCATCTATTTTCCATATGGTTCAGTTTTAAAACTGTCTTTGCAAATTCCCTGAGTCAAAATGAATCTCCCACTGCTTGGATAACCTCACAGCCATTTGTATTTTTATAAGCTACAATGTTTTAAAAATAATTATGAAAATACATGATCCTCCATGCAAACTATGAAAATACAGTAGGGGATACAACTGCATTTATTAATCTTTGAATGTGTCATCAAATGTCATGTATTAATGCCTAAAAGTCACATTACCTCTACTGTGAATTGACATTTTCCCATTCATAAGAAATGATGACTGAACCAAGTTGTTGTTGTTGTTTGTGTCAGGTGCTGGCATTTGAACTCAGAGTCACACCTCGAGCCACTCCACCAGCCCTACTTTTGTGAAGAGTTTTTCAAGATAGAGTCTCACAAATTATTTCCCCAGGCTAGCTTCTAACCTTGATCCTCCTGTTCTCTGCTAAGAGAATAACTAAGATTACAGGCATGAGCCGCCAGCGCTGAGCTGAACCAAGTTTTTAATTCCTAAATAAGGTCAGAAAAATTTAATGTTTTCACTCTAATTTTGGGAAATCTTGGAAAAGAGAAAAGGTTGTACAGCACTACTTTTTTTTTTAACCCCATCTTCTAACAGTAAAATAATTCTTGTAGCTCATGATTGCTGGAGGAGTCTGTATTCCTTTCTCATCACTTAGTTATGTGTATATGCATGTATAAACACAGTTTGTATTTAACAGTCATCAATCAACACTCAGTCAAGATGAAGAAATCAGCCACCCCAAAGCCTCACCTACATCATTCTGGGCAAGTCTTTGGCGATTGGATCCATCCAGATTGGCCATTTCAATCACAGACTGCTTGGCATCACACCAGTACAATGTGTCTGTTAGGTAGTCAATGGTGATTCCACTAGGCTCCAACAGATGGGAGCTGGCTATCACCAGCCGGCTGAAGCCTTGCAGGGAAGAGCTTTCAATTCGTGGATTAATCCCCGTATTAGTCCAGAATAATCTCCTGTATTCAAGAAAGCACACAACAACTCAAATCTGCATGAAAAACTCTTCCATTCTTCCATCTTTATAAACATCAGTATAAATGACTTTAGGATATACTAAAGTGGTACACTAAAGAATACATGAGGAGGAAATGTAACACTGCATGTTGAAAATTTTTCAAAGGCAAAACAATTATCACTGTAAAGAGTCTTGGATAAGAAATGTTGAATTAAGGTTCAGATCATTAGATTAAAAAAGGAATTCTTTTTAAATTTTGGAGCATATTACTAATCAAAAGTGTGCTTGAATGAATGATCTTAAATTAGCTACAAAATGCCATGAATCTTGCTAGCCTATTCTTCTATTAAGCATATGTAAGGCTGCCACATAGAGGTAACGGCATGTTTTATTTGTTATCTAGTTTTATACATGCACTGTGTTTACTCAGCCAATTTCAAGTTCCAGAAACCACATGCCAGGCTAATTTTTGTGAAGTCAGTATGGCTCAACATCTATTATTGGCCTGTTTAGAGGAGGTTACATTTTTGCAATTTTAATAATTTGACCAGCACTAAATCAATTGTCAATTGTTACCAATATATTACCTTCCTTAGACCATTGTAATTTTCCATCTTAAGTAAAATAGGGTTATTTTTGTCTTTGCTTTTTAATAACTAGGAAGAAATCTTTTATTCTCTAACCCCCCAAACCACAATGTGATACAAACAAAATAGAATCTTTTAATCTTTCACAATTTACATTTCCTCTTGCCTACATCCAGGAATAACCTATCATTTGAAGTCATCTTTTGGTTTTTCTAAATAAAATTTATAAATCAAACAATCCAAATATCATTTTCTGCTCAATAAACAACAATGCAGATTTTTAAGGAAAGTACATATGGGCTTAAGTCTAATTAGTTAATTAATTACAGCCAACTTCTTTTCAAAAAAAAATTGAATTTGTCTAAAATAAAAGGGCATATTAACAATATTATTATACAAGAATAGAAAATCAGCAAGGCATGGTGCCATACTCCTGTAATACCAGCTACCAAGGAAGTAAAGGCAGGGGGATCACAAGTTTGAGGCCAGGTGGTCAATGTTAGCAAGACCTGTCTCAAAAACAAAATGTAGGCTGGGTCCACTTGCTCACATCTGCAATCCCAGCTATTCAGAAGGCAGAGATCAGGGGGTTATGGTTTGAGGCCAGCCCAGGCAAAAAGTTAGTGAGACCTTATCTGAACCAACAAGCAAAAAAAGCTTTGGAGTATGGCTGAAGTGGCAGAGCAAGTATGAGATCCTGAGTTCAAACCCAGTACTGCCAAAAAAAAAAAAGGGGGGGTTGTGTAACTAAGGCGGTAGAATGTTTGTCTAGCAAGTATGAGGCCCTGCATTCATCACTAGTACCACCAACAAAAAAAAGGGAAGATGGGAGAGAGGAAGAGAGGGAGGGAGAAAAGAAGGAAAGAAAGAACAAAAATCAAAAGACATGAAAAAGATGAGGAATGCATTAGTCACATCATTTCTACAGATGTGCAAAAATCGTTGCTGGCTTCTGATTCCACTGACCACCTGAGACCTTAAGACAGATTTTCAGATAGCAAACATGAACTGCTACCTTACCTCTGCAGAAAAGTACCTTCTTTCCACAAATGCCTACCTGGCTGTTGGGTGAACAGCAATTCCTCGAGGCTGAGAGATGTTCTCCTGAATGATTACTTGACGATGATTTCCATTCAAATCGCTCCCTTCAATGACAGATTTCCTAAAATGTGTGTGATACAAGGAGGTTGTTATATCTACTTTACTTTTCAAACAAAAATATTCCTTTTTTCTGTTCCTGATAGCAAATAGGCATTCTAAACCACCCTCCCTCTCTCAAACACACACACACACACACACACACACACACACACACACACACCTACACACGCGTACACACAAACAAAATTAGCACCAGCAAGTGCATACATAAAAAGAAAACATTTAAAACAAGTCTTTTAATTAGCATCCTAATAACTTATCCCAGCCCAAGAGTAAGTAAAGGGGGGGTCTGTGTCAGTGGCTGACCATTCTCTTTTGTTTCACAACCTCCAGTCTCCTGCTGAAACCAATGAAAGCCAGAAGCAAGGATCGTGAAGAGGAGGGGCAGACCAGCTTAAGAGGAAGAAGAGTTAGATTGGCTTCAATTTTCTCCATCTGACTTTTTTTTTTTTTTTTTGGTGATATTAGGGATTGAACTCAGGAACTTGTGCTTGCTCAGCAAGTGCTCCACCACTTGAGACAAGCTTCCAGCCCTTTTGCTTTACTTATTTTTCAGATATGGTCTCATGCTTTTTACCCAGAGCTGACCTCAAACCATACTTCTCCTACCTATGTCCCCTGCATAGCTCGGATTACAGGCGTGCTTCTTGTTGTGATACTAAGGGGTAAAATTCAGGACTTCATGCTTGCTAGGCAGTGGCTCTACAACTTGAGCCACATGTCCAGCCCTTTTTTCTTTGGTTATTTTTGCGATAGAGTCTCCCTTTATACCTGGCTGGTCTGGACCACAACTAGGCTGGAGCTTTCCTACGTGCTTCGCTGTGTAGCTGGAATGACAGATGTGTGCCAACTCACCCAGTCATTGGTTGAGATATAGCCTTTTGAACTTTTTGCCTGGGCTGGCCTTGAACCTTGATCTTTCCAATCTCTGCCTCCCAAGTAGCTAGGATTATAGACTTGAGCCACTGTGCCCAGCCCAGTTTGTTTTTTGACATAGGGTCTCACTAACTTTTTTTACGTGGGCTGGTCTCCAACCATGACTCTCCTCTCTTTGCCTCCCAATAGCTGGGATTACAGGTATGAGCCACTACTTCTGGCTTCTTTCATTTGATTCTAAGACAGTTGGGGACACGGTAGCCCCAACCCCCTTTCACTTTCTGCAGTTTCAGTTACACTTGCATCCCTGTTCCATCTTTCCTGGTGGGAGGGAAGAGGCCACTGCTTATCACAGGGACAACAAAACCATCAGTTAGGATCTCAGTATTACATCATTTACATCATCCATAAATTCTGTTTAGAGAAGGAGTTAGATAAGAATTACACTCCCAAGGCGTTCATCTAATGAAGGTGTTCACTTCTATTTGGTTCAGCAAGAAAACAAACCTCGGACACTAATATAGGTAATGAGAAAGCAAAGACCAGCCAACAGGGACAACTGGTTTACCTCAGCTCAAGTGCGTCTCTTAATCTAATGGAGCACCCTCTTTTTATATTCACTAGGATCTCCAACGGGAAAACCACTCTGCATCCCAGGTAAGAATTGTCCATCAAGAGCCCCCAAAGAGTGATTTTTATCTTATGGTAATTTTTGTTACTCCCAAAGAATGAATAAACATATATTTTTTACTCTCTTAATTCAACTGACTTTAGGAATCAGGATTCCTTAATACTAAATACTAGCATTGCAAGAGGAATGGTGGATTAGCTTTCTGCCTAGACCTTAGATGTTTGTTGGAATCTGTCTTCTCCTAGGCCAATACAACCATCCCTCTCTGGCTCTTCATTGGCTCAGAGCTACCATGGAATCTAATACCACCGGATTGGAATCTCAGTTATTTAATTCCAATTTCTAGCTAATATCAAGGTTTTCAAACAAAATACCTCTCATTTCCAGGCAAATTAAAGGTTTTCACTTAGCAGCTGTCTTTAGAGGAGGGAGGACTTAAGAAGGGCTTGTTATTACAGAAGTCAATGAACAAGGGAATCTGACATCTAATTCTGAGGGATACAGCTGTGCCTGGCCGTGTCCTGAAGGCATTGCCTCATGGTAGCTACCACAGTGCTATTAATCAAACACTTAAAATTACAGGGGCTTTGTGAATGTGAGGAAATATGGAAAGACCCATCACCCTTCCTTAGAAGGCCTAAGAGCAGTTGACATCTGTTGTTCAGATAAATGTTTACTCTTCTGAAAACAGCAATGTACAAACTCTGTTATTATGCAAGTTGACGTTGAAAATAACCTTTTAAGTAGGTTCAACATGGAGGAAGCCATTATTATGATTTTATAATTATTACAACTGCATCTGGTTTAATTTGTTCCACATTTCTCTGGACCTGGAACCTTTTAAATCAACCCTGGAGGAGACAGTACTTGTCTATGATTGTTCAGTGTGCTGGGTTAGAGCACATGCTCTAACCTGAACAACACACCCAGCACATCTCCAGGATTATTTAGTGCATTGGCTATGGAAATGGCCATCACTGAGTTCCCACTCCAGATCCATTACTTGTTGACTGCTTGGCCCTGGGAAAGTTATTTTCTCTCTTTGATTATCAATTTTCTTAATCTTTAAATTGGAGACCAAACATACCTCTTTGGGATTCAGTGGGTATAAAGATCTTCTTGCAGTATCTGGTACATTGCAGTTATTCAATAAATAAATGCCCAAATAGTAAAAGAATGAAGGTATGATTAAATAAATGAATGAATAACTGAGAGAAAAATTATGTTTGCCTTGGATATAGAAGGGTCATTTTGTTGATAATGGCACACCACATATATAGCTAGCTCATTTTTATTTTTATTTACTTTTGGCAGTTTAAGCTTCCCATTGTCACTGAGATGATAGGTGCACACCATCACACCCAGCTATCAGATGAGATGGGGCTTCATGAACTTTTTGTCCAGGCTGGTCTGGAAGCACAATCCTCCCAATCTCAGCCTCCCAAGTAGCTAGGATTACAGCACATGAGGCACTTGGCTGTCCAACTCATTTTTAAGAAACTGTTTATTTCCCTTCAGTTATCCAAAAGAGATTTTTCTGGGACTGGGAAAGCCTACACTCGAGCATCTGAATCCATTCTCTGGGACTTTTCTCTCCAGGTCAGACTGTAGTTTTTGTAATTAATTTACTCTTCATTTACTTTAACATAGATGCCTAGATTCCATATGTTCAGGGTGGCTACTATTTCACTTCATGGTTCTCAATTCCTCTGAGAAAATATCCTAGAGCACACAGCATCTCTCCTACTGCTGCTTTACAGCTTCTCTCACAGAAGCAAGGAAGTGGGCTCCCTTTAGCATCCTAGGGAGGCAGCTACTTCCTGCACTGACTCTCCTCCTGCTCCACCCTGTTCCATTTACAGGATGACACAGGCCACACAGACACCAAGAACAGCAGCTCTTCCTCCAGTCCTAAGACTAAGGTGCCCAGAGGAGAGAAATACCCCAACTCTAGTTCTTCTGTTTCCACCCAAAAGGGGAAGGAGACCACCACGCTGATCTCATGACCTGTCTTCCCAACTCCAGTGAAGTTTCCATTCTCAACTTCACACTTGCTCAACAGGAACCAGTATATGGACTCAAGTTCAAAACTTGTCCCTTGCATGTAACCTGGAACAACTCAGCGTCTCTGAGTCCTATATTCTTCCCATAAAATGAAGGAGTTGGGCAGGCTGATCCCTGAAACCCCTTCCAGGGAGCCCTTTAGGAGGGTACACCCTTCACTTAGCAAATATTTATGCATGGTTTTATGACATTTCTTATACCTGCATTTAGACAAAGGATTTGTGTTAATTTTTTTCCAGGGGAAATACTGCTTATCGCCCCAACTAAACCAAGATATGACTGCAAAGATGGAGCCCATGTCATGCTCCATTGTGTCTCCCAGGAGAAACTTAGGAGAGAGCCTTACCCATAGCAGATCCTCAAAGAATGCTTACTGCTTTGTGTTCGGAGAGGTTTCAGGTTTCTCTGATAACAACAGCCTGAACTGTAAAAGTGCAGGCTACTTGCTTGGTCCTTGAATTCTGCCATAGCATATTTTATCATCCAGTCTTGATGAAAGGGGTGTCTTGCTCAGTGCAGGGAGTGTGGACAGCAATGTAGCCTCGTTTCTCCAATCCCAGCAAATCCCTCACAATATTTTTTGTGTCCCAAATGGAGGATTAAACCAGTGGTATTGCCCATTTCCTCACTTTTATCCCTGGTAGCTTAAAACTGAAGCAGGAAACATACCCTCTGTCGGTCCAATAGAATCTACGGTTAATCCAGTCCACAGCAAGACCTTCTGGTGTGTCTACTCTTTCCTCAATAAGCCTTTCTCGTTGTGAACCATCCATATTCGCTCTCTCTATCCATTTCAGGGCTGTATGGGCAAAATATAGCTGCAAAAGAGAACACGGGGCATTTCTGATTTGTTTTTTTAAAACAAATGTTGAATACACACAAAGAGGGTAAGTCATCACATAATCCAGTGTAACCGTTAAGAGCTTGGTTTTGGAATTACGTGCATATTCAATAAACCCCAACTATGCTGCTTCCAGATGTGTACAATCATGAGCAAGTTGCTCAATGTCTCAGAATCTTAGCTTCCTCCTTGGTAAAATGGGGATAATAAAATGGTTCATTAGGTCTCTTGATTTTATATATGTATGTGTGCGTATACAAATCCTAGTGCCTGCATATATTTCTACCGATAATTTATTAATCTTTGATCACTGGTCCATGTTACAGCCTTTGTATGCAAACCCTTGTGGTTTCTTCAACCACAATATGATGAGAATGTTCACGAAATGGTAACTCAATAAATACAGTGGTAAGCCATTCTTCCTTCTAGATGAAATGGGAAAGGTTGTGTTTTATAAATACAAATATGAGTCCCTCTCATGAAAATTGCTTCACTAGGGATCTGCTTCTTAACTCTAATGTGCATATGCATCATCAAAGAGTCTTGTTAAAATGCAGATTCTGATTCAGTGGCCAGGATGGAGCCTGGGAATCTGTGGCTCTAACAAGCTCCAGGTGATGTCAATGTTACTAGGCCAAAGACCACAGTTTGGTCACAAGAAAATGAGAACATTAATCAGAGAAATGAAAAACCACGACTCAAAGTTCATTTTAGATCTACTTATTCACCTACTTGTAAAAATATTTACTGTGCAGGAAAAAACTAATTTGGTAAAACATCTTGAATTGATTTTTTTCTCTTAATTATTTTTTTCTGTTAATATAAGTGCTCTATGGCACCGTATAGATTCAGTTCAGGGAAAAGAAAGAAAAATTGCTTGCTAGTGTTTAATTACAAAATTTTTATTGCAAAAATAGTTATATTTGGCCATCAATTTATACCTATTAAGCATAGAATAAATTAGCTTTGCTCATAAAGGAAATGCAAATTAAAACCACACTAAGATTCCACCTCACCCCTGTTAGAATAGCCATCATCAGCAACACCACCAACAACAGGTGTTGGCGAGGATGCGGGGAAAAAGGAACCCTCTTACACTGTTGGTGGGAATGTAGACTAGTACAACCACTCTGGAAAAAAATTTGGAGGCTACTTAAAAAGCTAGACATCGATCTACCATTTGATCCAGCAATAGCACTCTTGGGGATATACCCAAAAGACTGTGACACAGGTTACTCCAGAGGCACCTGTACACCCATGTTTATTGCGGCACTATTCACAATAGCCAAGTTATGGAAACAGCCAAGATGCCCCACCACTGACGAATGGATTAAGAAAATGTGGTATCTATACACAATGGAATTTTATGCAGCCATGAAGAAGAACGAAATGTTATCATTCACTGGTAAATGGATGGAATTGGAGAACATCATTCTGAGTGAGGTTAGCCTGGCCCAAAAGACCAAAAATCGTATGTTCTCCCTCATATGTGGACATTAGATCAAGGGCAAACACAACAATGGGATTGGACTTTGAGCACATGATAAAAGTGAGAGCACACAAGGGAGGGTGAGGATAGGTAAGACACCTAAAAAATTAGCTAGCATTTGTTGCCCTCAATGCAGAGAAACTAAAGCAGATACCTTAAAAGCAACTGAGGCCAATAGGAGAAGGGGACCAAGAACTAGAGAAAAGGTTAGATCAAGAAGAATTAACCTAGAAGGTAACACACATGCACAGGAAATTAATGTGAGTCAACTCCCTGTATAGCTATCCTTATCTCAACTTGCAAAAACCCTTGTTCCTTCCTATTATTGCTTATACTCTCTCTACAACAAAATTAGCGATAAGGGCAAAATAGTTCCTGCCGGGTATCGAGGGGGTGGGGGGGGAGAGGGAGGGGACGGAGTGGGTGGTAAGGGAGGGGGTGGGGGCAGGGGGGAGAAATGACCCAAGCATTGTATGCACATATGAATAATAAAACAATAAAAATTATAAATAAATAAATAAATAAAATTAGCTTTGCTCTGTCTTTCTTGACTACTTACCAGACTGCTTCAAATCACTAAGAAACAAAAGTACAAGGTTTAAGATTCTAGAAATACTAAATAATTGTAGTGGGTAGATAATAACTATGTACCTTTATCATTAGGGGTGATTAATTTCCAAAAGACACTATAACGTCATTTCTAGCACCTTTATCTAGAACAAATACCACTAAGAAATGAAAGACAAGTAGTCAGCTAATTAGGTTGATAATTTAGAAATTCTAAGTTATAGTAAAGAGATTTTATGTAAAATTGATTATTATGTAAATAAAGTTATGAGTAAAACTGCGATTCCCACATGAGCCATTCAACTTATGTCCTGATTTTCATGATTAGGATATTTAATTCTAATTCTAACCTTTACTTTGTATGCCCAAGACTCAACCTCCCGCTCCTACTACTAGCAAATCATCAAAAACCTACTTGTGGAGTTCTTTCTGTGGGCACAGTACTGTGCTAGTTTCTTTTTCTCATCTCCAAGGAAGAAACTGAACTGAAACTGGCCTGCATAGCCATTCTCAACAAGATGACTGAATCAAGCAAAGACCAGCCTAGGGTTACCTAGCAAAACAAACCCTTAAATTTTCCCCAACAGTGCTCCAGTGTCTATATTTAACTCGTTCAGGGTTTTCCAAATAGCCTAGTCAATTTGTTAAGATAAATCCTCTGTTCTTTCCTTATACATCCACATTTGTTCAGGCAACAAAAGCATACCTTGTTTTCCACAGGGTCATGGTCTAGGGCAAAAACCATTCCCACCTGCTGGTTGAGCAGGGATTCATAATCAGTTCCATCAAAGTGCATGTGTCGAATATCTTTAGAATTGGCAAACAGCAAAACTGGCTGTGGTCCTGTTAACCAAATTTCAAATATGGCTGTGTTTAAAAAATGCTTTAGAACTCAAGAGGCACTTTTGACTCTTCCCTTTCACTGCACCTTCTTCTTTAATTTCTGTACTGGTTTGCTTAATTTCCCACCAGTGTAAGTGAAGTCAGGCAAGAAGACTTTCTTTTCCATGAGGCTAACACATTGCCAGAAATTCACCACTGGATCCTTCTGTCTCTAGGTGTCTGCTTTTAAAATGCAAGTTACTTGTAGAAAAGGGTCACACTAAACATCCAAACTCACAGCCAAATGACCAAGTCTTAGGTTTGTAAACTCCTCTATTCACATATATTGAATTCTGATTAAATAACCTTCTCCTGATCTGGGCTCTTCTGAAAGGGAAGATGACTTTTGAGTTTATAATAAGGCCTCTAACCATTCAGGACTCAGATTATGTTATATTAACTAAGGTCTTGCAAATTTAAAAGCGTTGGCATCTCAGGCAAGCTATACAGCATCATTAGTGAGCTACCCCAGATTATAAGCATAATAAACCTTCAGGAGAGACAAAAATCAATTTGGCATAAACCTAAAATTTGAAAGTTGTTGAAAGGCTCAGAGATAGATAGATGAACATCAGAAGAAAAACAGCTAAAGCATTCCACATCATATTAAATTTTGACATGAAAAGAATTTGTCAAAGTATTATGATTATTACATTCACTGGAGAGATCAAAATGAAATCAATCCACAAATATTTATTAAACATTTCTTAATTATCAAGTGTTTTAAGACAATTCTGGTCTTGACTTTCTCATCTACTGATGAGATAGCCTTATGGCAAATCTTTCCTGGATACCAGTTAACTCAGAAATACCCTTTAAAAGCATGATTATCATTCATGTTGTATTACTTACAATATTCATATGCCCAGATTTGTTTTCCATTTCCAAAATTTAAAAATCAGACTTTCTACCAAGAAAGCAACTCAACTTGGCATCTTGTAAATAAAATGTTAAATGCATGTAATCTTTTTATGGGGACACAACTCCACAAAACCATAGCACTAACCTGAAGCTGTGCAGCGTTTTTGGTCCAGTTGTAAGTCATACCCAGGAAAGCAACCACATTCCCAGGATACTGGGCTGAGAGGAATGCAGAGCTGGCTACATCCACCGTTATCAGGGGAGGAACAGCCTACAAGAAACAGCTGCTTGACGATGATGTTGGGTCACTCAAAATAAGATAGCGTTTCATCACAGCACCAGGATGGGCAACTATAGGCTGACTTTTAAAACCATGTCCACAATCTTTCACACTGCTGGTATCAAGTTTATTTTTCAGAAACTAGAGCAAAATGTCACCCACTTCCCTAGAACCTAACATCTTAGATGTTAATCTTTTACATTCCAGTGGCCCTTGTCCTGGTGTTCTACCGTGGAGTTCAAGAACAAGTGCACTGGCAGCTGTTTGGAGAAAGAAGTACATTTTGATGTGTTTGGCAGCTGTTCTAACTCTTCCTTTCTCTCTCACATTTTTAACCTCTGGATTTATTTTGCCTTTTTAGTTTGTTTATTTTTTAAAGATCTTAATTAACTTTCTTTTTCCATTCTAGATTCAGGCAACACTTCATTTTATGAAATAAAACAAGCATTCTCCTCTTTTGCACTTTTTATTAAAAAAATCAAAAAGCAATAAAAAATTCTTCTGCTAATTTTGAGTTACATCCAGACTCTACATGCTTAAGTCTCTATGAAGACAAAAGCAGAGAGTTATTTACTAGGTACAAGTGACAGGCTAAGCACTCTTTATCTACCATTTTACTCAATCCAGGAAGCAAGTCCAGTACCTTTACCAATGAGGAAAGAAAGACTAAGAGAGGTCAAGTAACTAGTTCAAATCACACTGCTAGTAATTGCATAAATGTCTTTCACTGTGTAATATTGGAAAATCTACTCTCCTTTGGCATTGAGATCAATTTTAAGCATCCCTTAGAAAATGTATACTTTCAAATAAAAGGCAAGTAGACTCACCACTGCATGTTTTTCCATCTTTCTCAAGCACTGATCCTTCAGGACAGAAGCACTGGGGACCATCCGCTGTCAGAACACAGCCATGGCTGCATTCAGATGCATTGTTTGGACAGGAAACCAATTCTAATTAATGAAGAACAAAGTCGAGATGAGTGTAAAAACAGGTTTGTGGAAATTCATTATAATCAGTTGCTAATGAAAAGTATTATGCTACTGGGGGGAAGGGCTGCACATCTATAATCCTAGTACTCAAGAGGCTGAGGCAGGAGGGTCCTGAGTTCAAAGCCAGCCTGGGCTACATAGTGAAAACTCATCTCAAAAAAAAAGTTCTATCCTACAAAGAGGAAGATAGATAAAGGTCAAACATTTATGATATGCAGTGGTAACAGAGATTAAAAAATTAAAGTAAAAAAATCAAATCTAAAAAAATTAAAAGAGCTCTGATTTTGGAAAATGTCTCTACTTTCCTCTGAGTTTCTTTTATCTCAAATAAGATTTTTAAAGTTAATAATCAAAATTAGCCATCAAAATTCCAAAATATTTTAAATGCAACTTGGCCAAATGATTCTCAATTTCCTCTAGAAAAGAAATTACTTGTGTAGGAAAAATTAAGGATTTTGTGTGTGTACGGTTAGGTATACAAAGAGAAATGAGAGGCTCTTAACAAATATTAAACTGTTTGATTAGTTATCATACACATATGATACTATGCAATCATTAAAACAGTGGGAAATGGGTGCAGCAAAAGATAGAGGATAACAGAACAGGAAAGAAAGTTCAGAGTAGAAAAGACTCAAGGACGAATAAGAACATACTGCGTAGGGTGTTATCTTAAATCGATGAACATGTGAAAGGTCATCGTATAATGGTACAGAAATAATAAATAATTTGGGGGAAAGTTAAATCTCTACCCTATACCATGCACCAGAATTAATTCCAAGTAAATCAAAGTTGCAAGCATATTTATTTATGCACCATAAAAGTCCTGGAAGTTCTGAAAATCCAAAGAGATCCTATGTGTCATCCTTGGCACATAGTGGTCCCTATAACACATTTACATCCTGCTCTTTAGTATATTTACCAATGGGAAAACCAAATGGTATTAAGAGATGGCAAGTTTCATAGATGGCACAAAGATGGTGGGTAATTTCCAAGAAATTCACTATTGTCTGCCTATTTCAATATGAGAAAACTAGACTGAGCTATTCTCCATCATCTTTGAAGCAGATAATAGACATGATTTTAAATATCCATTTGTATTTAGCCATGCCTGTAAGACTAAATAAGAAATCTATCAGACAGTATCTGAACAAATAATCCTATATTTGCTCTGGGAATATCCATATAAACTCATAATGCATTTTTCTCTTTTTAGTAAGTATATTCCTAGTGTTGATGCCCTAAGGCCTAGAAACAATGACTAACTCAGTAGCAGACTATGTCAAGTCCTCATGAAAAGGAAGCAATGCTCCTAGAGCAGTCACTGATTCCAGGTCAGGAATATGAAATGTACATAATGACATGCAAAATATGTCCTACCAGGTGACAAGGAAAGTGTAAAGACTACGTGTGTCAGGAAACCATTTAAAAGGGAAAGAGAAGACAATTTGCTTATCAGTAGCAATAACAACTGCAGTGAGTTGGAACACATAACAATGTTTAAAATCTATGCATTCATAATAATACTTAATAAAAATGTATGATAAAATAAAAATATTTAACAATAAAAGTACTTAATATTAAACACCTTTAGAAGGTATCTAGGAAATAACTCTCTAAATATAAATGACGAAAAAAATTCATCATTTATCTTGTATCTTAGGTAAACAAATAGTTAATGAGAAAAGCTCTCTTTATAAAAGCATTCCAATTACTAATTAAAAAGAAATAATAGGACCAGAATATTATCATTTGAAATGCAATGAAATAATGGATCTAGGAAGTGACTGTTGAAAGACTATTGGGGAAATTTATAAAAGATGAATGAACACACTGTCAAATCTTATCATGATGAAAAAACAAATATTATGTATCTCTTGATGGATATGCAGACCCATCTATGAAGAATTATTGCTACAAAATGATTAAGCCTATATATATAAAACTACAGGTTTGCAGAAAAAAATGGCGACATTACAGAGGTGTCATTTGTAAAATCCAGAAAGTGAGAAAGTGTAGGGAAAAAACAGTTAATTTAACAAATATTTACAAGGGGAAGAAAAGAGGAGAGCGAATCTACAGAATAAGAGACACATGTATCAATTAGAGCTTATTTAAATACTTATTCAAACAAATCAAGTATTTTAAAAAAAACTTTTTTTGTGGAGGGGCAGGCTATGGTGGCTCATGCCTGTAATCCCAGCCACTCTGGAGGAGATTGGGAGGATCACAGTTGGAAGCCAGCCTAGGGGAAGAGGTTCTCAAAACCCCACCTCAACCAATGCCAAACCTCAGTGGTGGCACATCTGTCATCCCAGTTATGTTGGAAGAAAAAATAGGAGGACCGTGGTCCAGGCTACTTGGCAAAAATGTGAGACTCTATCCCAAAATAACTAAAGCAAAAAAGGCTGGTTCCCTTGCTAAAGTGCAAGTGTGAGGCCAAGTTCAACCTCCAGTACCTCCAAAAAAAATTAAAAACCCACCACTTTTCCGTTTTTCATGGTACTGGGGTTTGAACTCAGGGCTTTACATTTGCTAAGCAGGCGATCTACCATTTGAGCCACTCTGCCAGCCCAACCTACAACCTTTTAAGGGACCAGGAGAAATGTGGAAGTTGACTAGATATTTGATGTTATTAAATGTATGGAATTATTATTACTATTAGGGTCTGAGATTGGTTTTTTGGTTATGCCTAAAAACTGATTATATCTTAAATGCTGGTAGGTAATTATAGCTAATTTTTCAGGTATAAAAATGTGACTTTTTTAAAAACATGACTTTTTTTTTTAAATATGCTTATTGTTATAGTTTAAATATGAAGTGTCTCCCACAGGCTTGTTGTATTGAACACTTGGTTCCCAGTTGGTGGTGCTATTTTGGGAAGTTATGGAAACTTTAGGAGGCAGAACCTAACTGTAGGAAGTAGGTCACTGAAGAGAGCCTTTAAGATGATAACACACATGCACAGGAAAGCAATGTGAGTCAACTCCCTGTATAGCTATCCTTATCTCAACTAGCAAAAACCCTTGGTCCTTCCTATTATTGCTTATACTCTCTCTTCAACAAAATTAGAAATAAGGGCAAAATAGTTTCTGCCTGGTAGCGAGGGGTAAGGTGGGGTAAGGGAGGGGGCAGGAGGAAGAGGGGAGAAAAGACCCAAACATTGTTTGCACATATAAATAAAAAAAAAAAGGTTACACCTGGCCCCCAGGCCCCTCTTTGCTCTTGGCTTCCTGTCTACCATGAAGTGAAGAAGCTCCTCCTCCTCACTGGCCAAGTGCGTGGGAACAGAAGCCATGAGCCCAGATAAATTCTTCCTCCCCTAAGTTATTTATGTCAGAAATTTGATCCCAGCAATGATAAAACTAACAAACTTACTATATATAGTTTTGTTTCCCTAATCTTCAAAGTTCTTATTTACCAGGTCTGTAGTAGAATTCAATTATATGTGTTTTAAAAAAACAAAAGAAAACTCCAGGGTAATTCTGATGCATACTTCTAACTGAAGACCACCAACCCAGATCACAGCCACCTTAGAAATATTACTGAAAATAAAGAAAAACGGTGCAATAAATACTTGTTGCTCTGACTTACGATGACATCGTTTCCCATCAGGAAGCAGGACAAATCCTGCGGGGCATGTGCAATAATAGGATCCAGGAGTGTTTTCACACCCAAGAGTGCAGCCATGATCCCACAAGGCACATTCGTTGACATCTGTACAATGAGTGCAGCAAAGCAGGGTCAGATGGTCATTTTCAAACACAAATTGTGATATCACTAACTCACACAAAGTAAGGTATCTCACACTTTTATATGCTGTACCTGACCATGGGAAAGCTGTTTTGCCATTTCTCAAAAAGGGACAAAGCAGTTCAATGACCATAAGAGCCAGTTCTGTTCTGTCACAGTTTAATAAGTATATTCACAGATTTTCATACTAGAATAACCCTCTGTGAATAGTAGTACTATATCCCTTGAAAAGACACAGATGTAATTTAAGTCAGGAACTGTTGGAAGTTCTTAACCAGTTTAGGACATTTCCTGCTCTGCACCTGGCCTTCCTCAGCCCCTCCCCATCTGTGGGCACATCCCCTGCAGACTTGCTATGGTGGAAGTACACCTTCCAGCTCACTGATTCTACAGGCACAACATTTACCCACTGGTCCCATGTAAGCAGCACACTGTAACTAACAGGCAGATGCCAGATCTACCGGAACCTCCCTCAACTAATCTCACAGTGGGTGCTGCAGCCCGATTCTTTCCATCACGGAATCACTGCCCCCTCCCGGAGGTCAGATGCAGTATTCCTCCTGGGTTCATTGGATGGGGTCTGGAATCTCCAAGCAGGGGGAGCCCCAGTTAACCAGCCTGATTCATGGCTTCCCAGGGTTCCTACTAGCTCTTTATGGATGAGATGTGAGAGTCATATACTCTGAGAACCTGATGGTAGCTACAGAATCATTCTCCTAAAAAAATTTGCCAATCCTGAAATTTTGCACAAGGTAAAATGCAGAAAGACACATAGAGTGCTCTCAGAGAATCCAGGCCTCATAGCAATACCTGAGCAGCTTCTCAGTGTTTGATCTAAGAACACAGGATATAAAAAAGACCTGAAAGCATTACAGAGTTATTTTGTTTGTTTGCTTGTTTTCTCAGCTCTGGGGTTTGAACTTGCTAGGCAGGCGCTCTACCACTTGAGTCCCTTTTTGCTTTAGTTATTTTTCAGATCAGGTCTCACAATTTTGCCTGGGGTCAACTTAGGACTCTGGTCTTTCTACCTCAGTCTACTTCATAGCAGAGACTATGGGAGTGCACCAGCAAGTTTGGCACAATAGAGATTTTTAAAACAGAAGGAAAAAAGTGCTCTTTTGTGGAAAAAAAAAAAGAAAGAAAGAAAGGTGGGCTTGAAATTGGTTCCTCTCCAAGGCCTTGGATGGCCTCCCGAAGACCAGCCCCTGGCCCAGGTGGCTTTCCTACAGTGCCCCAGACATTACCTGCACAGAACTTTCCGTCTGGGCTTAAAGAGTAGCCCTGCGCACACACGCACAAGTGGGACGTGGGTTCTTGCCCACAGGCCAGACTGCTGCAGTTTCCTTTCCTCAGTGTGCAAAGCTCCCGTTCTGAAACAGAAGAGATGTATTGGGAGTGGGCAGAGAAGTGTGTTAACAGAGGACAATGTCTGATCTCCTCACAGTTCTTAAACCTAATCTCCCAGCAGAGGTGTCCTCTTGTGTGCACACATTGGCCAGAAGTCCCAGAGGGTGGAAGGAAGCCTGACATTTCTCTGAGTGTGTTGTTCCTGAAGTCATTCTCGGGATTGAGTCCTGAGTAGCCAGGGATGTCATTCCTGAGCTTGCAAACCTTAAGCAGGCTGTCAGCTGTTGCATTATGGCTTACTTTTGTTTATTAAAAAAAGTACATAAAGTTTCTGAAAATGAAACACCTGTTTAAAAAATAAAAAAGCTTCAAGGCCTGGCCCCAGTGGCTCACTTCTTTAATCTTAGCTATTCCAGGAGACAGAGATCAGAAGAATCTCAGTTCGAAGCCAGTCCCAGGCAAATAGTTCTGAGACACCCTATCCCAAAAATATCCAAAGCAAAACAGGGCTGGTGGTGTGGCTCAAGTGGTAGAGCACCGGCCTAGCAAGCGTGAGGCCCTGAGCTCACATCCCAGTACTGCCAAAAAAAAAGTGAAAGAAAGGAAAGGAAAAAAAAAACCCTTCAAATTTAAGAACATTTCTTTTTTTTTCCTATAGTATTTATAGTTAGATTATCTAATTCTTAGCTATTTTTATAATCGTTAAAGAACAACATCTTTTAAATGTAATTTATACCATGTATTATGAACTATCCTAGGGTAAACAGTAAAATTTGCTCAGCAAAATGGTGCTTGGGTTGAATTAACTACAGTTGGGTTGAGTTATGTATAATTGGGTGCTCGGGTTATAGCGAAGTTTATTAAACATAATTGGATGGGTGGGTTAAATAACATATTGAACAGTAAATGGCCAACTTGCCATCTTTGTTTTTCAGAGCCAAAGTCAAGGGCTTCGCCAAAGACATACGATAGAGAAAAGATAGCCTCTTCAACAAATGTTGCTGGGAAAAGTGGTTACCTATATGCAAGAAACTGAAACTAGATCCATGTTTATCACCCTGTACTAGTATCAACTCAAAATGGATCAAGGACCTTAATATCAGACCCAAAACTCTGAAGTTAGTACAGGAAAGAGCAGGGAATACTCTGGAAGCAATAAGTATAGGCAAGGACTTTCTCAGAACCCCAGTAGCTCAGCAACTAAGAGAAAGGATGGACAAATGGGACTACATGAAATTAAAAAGCTTCTGCACAACAAAAGAAATGGTCTCTAAACTGAAGAGAACACCCACAGAGTGGAAGAAAATATTTGCCAGCTATACATCAGACAAAGGACTGATAATCAGAATATACAGGGAATACATAAAAAACTAAACTCTCCCAAAATCAATGAACCAATAAAGAAATGGGCAACTGAACTAAACAGAACTTTCTCAAAAGAAGAAATTCAAATGGCCAAAAAACACATAAAAAAATGCTCACCGTCTCTAGCCATAAAGGAAATGCAAATCAAAAACCACACTAAGATTCCACCTCACCCCTGTTAGAATAGCTATCATCAAAAACACCATCAACAGCAGGTGTTGGTGAGGATATGGGGAAAAAGGTACCCTCATGCACTGCTGGTAGGAATGCAAGCTAGTGCAACTACTCTGGAAAACAAAATGGAGGCTTCTTAAAACTGTAAACATAGACCTGCCATATGATCCAGCAATCCCCTTCTGGGGATTTACCCAAAGGAATGCAACACAAGTTACTCCAGAGGCACCTGCACACCCATGTTTATTACAGCACTATTCACAATATTTATGGAAACAACCAAGATGCCCCACTACTGACGAATGGATTAAGAAAAATGTGGTACTTGTACACAGTGGAATTTTACTCAGCCATGAAGAAGAATGAAATCTTATCATTTGCAGGTAAATGGATGGAACTGGAGAACATCATTCTGAGTGAGGTTAGCCAGGCTCAGAAGACCAAAAATTGTATGTTCTCCCTCATATGTGGACTTTAGATCTAGGGCAAATACAGCAAAATTGTTGGACTTGGGTCACATGATAAGGGGAGAGCACATACGGGAGGAATGGGGATAGGTAGGAAACCCAAAACTTGAAAGTATTTGATGTCCCCACTGCAGAGGAACTAATAGAGTAACCTTAAAACGACAGAGGTCAATATGGGAAGGTGTCCGGGAAATAGTGAAGAGGTCAGGTAGAGATGAATCAATTCAGGTTGTAATACACTTGTGCGTAGAAGCAACGCTAGGAATCTCTCTACATAGCTGTCCTTATCTCAACTAGCAGAAATGCTGTGTCTTTCTTATTATTGCTTATGTCTTCTCTTCAACAAAATTAGAGAAAAGGGTAGAACAGGTTCTGCCTGGAAATGAGGGGGGTGGGGGAAGAAGGTAGGGGCAGGTGGGGAGAAATGACCCAAACAATGTATGTACATATGAATAAAGAGAAAAAAAAAACAAAGTCAAGGGCCAAACTAGTAAAACATACCCCTTTTTAAAATGATGACAAGGAACTGGGAATGTGGCTCAAGTATTGAGTTCCTGCCTAGCAAGCACAAGCCCTGGAGTTCAAATCCCAGTACTGCCAAAATAAAAATAAAATGTTAGCAAATCAAAGCATTTAGGGGGTGTGGCCCAAGTGGTAGAGTGCCTGTTCCACCCTGAATTCAAACCCCAGTCTTACTAAAAAAAAAAAAAAAAAAAAGGCAAATTAAAAAACCCCAAAAACATTAACAAGATTCTTGTCTTGTTCACTCCTTCTGCCAAATTTGCCAGCAGAGGCTTTGTAAAATGCTATGGGAAACACAGGGCTAAGCTTATGTGTGAGATCTGGGAAGAGGTGGAGGCCAAGGAAGATTTGGTCTTGAATCCTGGAGTCTGACTGGCTTGGATAAACTAGACTGGAGCCCAGGGCCTCCAGCACTATTGGGAAAAACTTGGGAAACAACCAGTAAGCAGGTCGCAGAGAACTCTGATAGCCTGAGAATTCTCCACGCTTTGTTTCTCTGATCTCTGTCTTACAGAGAGGGCTCCTCCATCTGACTTTACCTAGTTCCTACTATTTCAAGTCACCATCAAAAGATAAAATTTCAACAAATTTAAAGGTCCTCATTGGCTTTTAGATGCAATTCCTAAATCAAGCAGCATTTTATATAAATACAGAGGGTGCTATATGCATGACAGAACAGTCAGTTATTATAAGGCAGCTTTGAGCAGGAACAAGGACACAGCACGATACAAAAAGCAGATTTGGTAACATGAGGTTACTTCAGTTACTTTCTGTGTAAAGATTAAACAAGAGCGGACTTCCTTATCATGGAGGAGGGGTGGCCATAGGACTGGCCTGTGTGGGGATTTGGCTGTTATCTCTCCTGATTTCTCAGAAGGTTAGATTAACAGCTTAGTTTTGGCTTTGGGATGTGGAAATTTAGCGTGAATGACTCCATTATGGTTTGGTCTGTTGGGGCCGAGTGCATATCAGTGGCATCCCATGAATTTTATTTATTTAACATCTCTAAGGTCTTTCTTGGCTAATAACCTCAGGAGTCTGCAGTACACCTTTGGTGTACATCATCACCTGGAGACGGTGTTTTCCTCCAGAGATCCTGATTTGCTAAACCAAGGGAAAGACTTAGGAATCTGCCTTTACACAAAATCTGGGGTAAGTCTAGAGCTAGAGCCTTCAAACCACACTTTGAGAAACACTGGCTTACTAGACTAGTGAGACATTCTACCTTCATCTTACTTACAGATAACCAACTACCATTAGCTACTCTGTATGCATAGTTAAATTGTTTTTCATGTTTCTACACGGTTCACTTAAGCTATAAAAATGTTTAATTAGGCAAAATTAAAATGGATCAAATTTTAAAAGTGAATGACTAAAGTTTAGAAACTTGTAAATGTAGACAAAAGGAACCCATTTCAAATTTCTTTTTTGTTTTGTTTTGTTTTACCTTTGCAAGTGAACAGCCACAACAAAAATCCAGAAAGGAAGATCTATAATGGCCTTTTAATAGCATCAAAACACCATACCACTATCTTAAAGTCACAAAAAATGAGATCATCTTCCTATAAATATTCCTTATAAAAATGTTTCCAAACTCAACATGATAGATGATTACAGGATTGTGAATCAGGAAAACCAAGTTCTTTTACTGAGTTTTACAGCAAATTGCTTTACTTCTTTGACCTTAGCTTCCCAATCGGTGAAATTAAAGTGTTGAAGTAGATATTCTTTGATATCGCTCCTTCTTTATTTTATTTATTTATTCTTGTAGTGCTGGGGATTGCACCCAGGGCCTTGTGCATGCTAGGCCAGTCCTACCACTGAACCACATCCCCAGTCCTTAGTGCCTGCCCCTTTGCCCCATGCAGATAGGGTTTACTATGTAGCCCACACTGGCCTAGAACTCACAATCCTTTGTTCCAGTCTCCCAAGTGCTGGAATTACAGATATGCTTCACCATACCTGGCTCTTGTTCTTTTTTTTTTTTTTAAAGTTATATGGTAGCAGTGTGGCTAAAGAGGTAGAATGCCTGCTTTGCAAGTGCAAAGCCCTGAGTTCAAACCCCAGTCCCACCAGAACAATAAAAAAGTTGCATAGTTCTAAACAGAATTAAATATCTATGGTAAACTCCTCTAAATTTATACTTCTAAATATTCTCAAACCTTAATTACTTTTATAACATGGTAACAAAGAATCCGAAGAAAACTGTTCTGTCTATGATATAGGAAACACCCTGGATCTTACTCTAGATCCAGTATTATTTAACCTTGCTCTGTTTCCATCCCTTTCTACTACCTCTCACCTGGGCTAATGTGTGTTCTGCACATCATCATTGTTATCACCATCAAGGTTATGTATTATTATTATTTGTCCATATATTTCATTGATAAGCTTCTGGGGATAAGCCCATGTGCTCTCTCATGTTTATAGTTTCAATAGCACCAAGCATATGTGGTAAGAACACAGCAAAGATCTGAAATACAGATACTACCTGT